GAAATTCTTGATAGGCGCTAGATTAAGAAAGAAACTACTGTTAGAGGAATTTTCTACACCTTTACAAACAGCCACACCAGAATTCAAGCACTTGTTATACCATTAGAATAGTAAAATATGCCAAACGCTAGGAACGGAAATTGCAATCACTAGACTGCGTTGTCATATTCCACAGCTGAATTTATATTTACACAGAGCTGATCTGGCAGCCTCACCTCATTGTCCTGTTTGTGGAGTAAATGAGTCAAATGAACATTATCTCATTTATTGTAATAGATTCTCTGCCTTACGTAAAAACACTTTAGGTACCGTTTGCCACCTTCTCGGAATATATTTAAATGCTGAAAATGTGCTTTCTTTCGGGGGCTTTGTGTCTAAGCCACAGCGACGGGAAGATGGTTGACGCATTGCAGGAGTTCGTCAAAAGTTCAAAGAGGTTTAAGTGTTGAAATCATTGTTCGGTAGATTTTGAAATTTCCAAATTCATATTAAATCAAATATGACGCTTTATTGCATTACACTACAGATTATTTACAAATTCAACCATCAAATTCATCTTGTTGCATCTTTCTTTTATTTCTCGTAAATGGATTAATTTTAATCTGGTATTAAAGAAGAAATTCATGAAAACTATCCGGTTCTTGGCCAATCCCCCAGCGTGGGTATGCGCCACATCGTCAAGGATCTTGACTTGACTTGACTTGCTGGCCAAACTTTGTCGGCTTCCATTCTTTGGTGCACGAGAAGTGATGCAGGACGAACATGTCACTAGCACCATTCCAGTGATCTTCGACGCCGCCGCAGTTGATTGTGTCTTTGGAGCCCCGCTTGCCCCCTGCTCGTTCTGTTCCTACCGGGGTTTTCTCGCTGCCGTTGTCCGGACACCACCCTGATGCAGGCCCCGTCTTCAGTCTCGCACAAGCCTTGGATGTTCCAGGCAACACGTGTTGGGCCGTCGGCCGCGTTCACACCCGACTGTGTTGCCGCAAGGTTCGAACAACCATCAGGAATTCAGGCGATGACATCAGTAATCTTTGTTGCAAGTTTTCCGCTCCGTCTTCGAGGGCTGTACTCAGGGCAGCCTTGAGATTCGAGCATGTCAATGTCAATGACGGCGGACGTGCCCCAGCGTGCCTGCACCGAATCTAATAAAAGCAACGGCCCTCAAGTCTACGGAAAATTACGGCGTTACCACCACCCGGTTGGCGCCATCACGTGCTTCGCCAGGAGTGGTGCTTATGCGAAGTGGGCCTCGGTGCTGCTTCTTGGTGGGAAAGTGGCGCCTGTCACCATGTGGTCGTCGGCCGCTGGTATGCTATGGACCTGTTCCTCGGATATGGTCGTCTGATTTTATTCTCAACCTGCAACCAAGACAGCTTAAGTAATGACATTATTTATGTTTATGTTTAAATATTGAATTCAAATGGTTCTTTATCGTTGATGCGATTGCTGGGTTTAATAAATACTGGTGACGAATTCTTGTTCGTATTGTCTTTGTGAAGACAGTGTCAGAAGCTGTCCGCTTTCTTCGGTGGTATGTTCACATGTGTATCGCTGGCGTACCAAGTTGGGGAAGGGGAACGGGGAGGGGGGGGAGGGGTCTGGTTGATTAGATACCCATGCGCACACTTCCTCCGCTTCTCTCCGCTGGTATCCTCTCCCACGCCGCTTTGCCCTCTTGTCGAGTGCCCCTCACATGCCCCTCCGGACTCGTGTGGCATACGTCATCGCTGACGCGCTGCTTGGAACACCGTATACATCCGGTTGCCGCGACTCCGGCCGTCGACTCCGTCACTTGCGTTGTAGCGGCGTGCTAGTTGGCGAACCCTGGCTGCCGTAATCGTGCCGGTATGGACTCTACGTTGCGCGCACGCCTTCAAAGGATCGCCAACGCGATGAACGTGTACGGGGACACGACGTGCCTCGCACGTGCAGCACGCACGCAGGCAGGGGCGTAGTCGGAAATTTTTTTGCCGGTGGGGGGGGGGGGGGGGGGGGGGAGTTCTCGCTAACCTGACTGGAGGAGGAGGGGGACTCAATCATCCTTTTTTTTCTGTGACGTGACTATCGGCGGTAGTTCGAGCAGATTAATGTGTACATGCATGTATATCAGTTGCTGGGTTACCTTAACCAAATTGATTCCCAGCGGCTCAGAATTATGTGCCACGTTGAAGTGCCCGTTGCATAAAGCGCTTGTCATCACGCTCGATGCACGAACTCCTTGTATGAAAAACACCGTGCGAGGTTCTTTAAACCACGGAAGGACGCACGCTATTTAATATCGCTGCATCGATCGGGATCGATTCAGCGATTACGATCAATCACGATCAGTTGCATCGATCGCAGCCGTTATTGAAGTGACACCGCTAAAACTGTTATTGAGCAAAAAAAAAAAGGGGGGGGGGGGGGTCGTTTTTTAAGGCGTTGTGGCGTCCTTAATGGTATTTTATTAGGAAATCTTACTTTTGTGTGACGTGTTTTTTTTTTGCGTTTTCCCTGTATTGCGTGCATGTATATGAGGTGATAACTCGTTTATATTAAATATGAGTCCAGCGAAAGAAAACGTGAAGGATACATTGCACTCCCCTGTGAAAGCAAAGTCTGGCGCGCAACTCACTCGCATTCAATGGAGAGCGAAAACCCTTTTGCCTGCACAGTTACACCTTCGCACAGACACATTTATAGAACGTAGTGGCCCCTGTTCCAGCGAAACTGGCTCTCGTTTTGAAAAAGTTGAATATTCAAGGGCTGACGGGGTCATGGTAACACCATGGAGTGCGAGCTGTAGAAGCAAAAAAAAAATCCTACCTACAGCTTTAAGTCACCGCGACTTCTTTAGCCCAGTACATCCCCTTGCCATTACCTTAACGCGAACGTATGCAATGACCCACTTAAACTCAATGTGCGCTACGCGTTCTTATTTCGACGACACAAGACATCGAATGATACATTGGCGTTTACCTGAAACACGATGAGAACCACAGTGACGCGAGACGCACATGTGGTATTTATGGCATCACAAGAATAAAAAAAAAATCACAAAGTCAGTCAGATGTTTTCTCCATTCTTCACTTTGAGTCGTTGTCATGGCCATGATAGCGAAATCGTGGCTAATCTGCATTGACTTCCAGTTCGAGATAGCGTGCCGCCCGACGGCCATTCTTACTAGTGTCGTCTTATACTAGCACTCGCGGAAGCCTTTTATAACAAATTGCTAAGCAATGCAATGGAGGGCTATACAGCTTCGATGAATAAATTAATGCAGTCACTACGATATAGTTATATCGGTAGGAGCGGTAATTTTTTTCATTCAAGCAGCATGCACCTCCGGACACATGCGTATTGTTTTGCGGCAAAGGGTGTTTTCGGGCATATCATCTCGCATACAAAGATTTTTCTGTGCATCATAGCATCATGAAACGTATCCATTCGTTTCTTTTCGTGTTGCTCAGTCATATAGTTATTAATTTATTTTTTGTGTTGCAAAAGTGCCATCTTGAGCTCAATATAGGGAATGGAAACGGTAATCTGTTTCTTATTCTAAAAAATCAAATGTGCTAGCAGTTTTATGGATTTTAATTTTTTTTCGCCTCTCAATCTTCCTTTGCGTGTCGTTCCCTCTCACACTCGGACCTTATTTGTGTTTCAATGCATGCTCAACATACATATATGTACCCTTAAGGGTATCAGTCGGAGTACAACACACCCTATCCGTACTTCGCGCTTGCTTGTCTGACATGCTAGTCGACAGACCTCATACCATGCAACATGATCGTTGCTTCGAAAGAGACTTAGATCGTTTTATGTCGTCCGATACCTCTAACTGAGTGGTCGTTTTCTACCAAGGGCCTTTTACGCGCTCAGCTGTTTCCATAAATTTGACAGACAGTAGGCGATACAGAGCATGTTGTGCAAATATACTACATCGGTGTGCTTGCTTGATGGGGGCAGAGTACGCGCGTACTCTGCCCCCATCAAGTTGTCATGTTGTCAACGAACGTAGGTTGACATTTGGCCGCATGAGCTTACATGTGTGAGTGATTTTGAAGTGACCACCATTTGTGGTCTAAAATACTAAATCGAGGTGATTTTGCGAAATATTACTGCGTGATGAGTGTGGCGAGTTGGGCGGGTGGGTAAAGATGCATGAGTTCGTTATCTTTCTTTTGTCTCTGTTTTTTGGCGCTAAGTTATTTAAGTCATTACTGCGTGTTTCAAAACATAATAAACGCGCTCGAAACCCGCCTCTCACCGTTCTTCGCGTTCGCCCTTTAATTTGTTCTCTGAAATGCACAAAACATTGTTTATCCTTCGTAAAAAAATTCAAAAAAACAACGATTTGACAAGCGGCAACAAACGCGTCGCTAAATTGGACTTGTTTTCTTCCCCACTACATTGCGCAGCAAGGCACTTCGAAGCGGCGAAGGTATATGCCTCGAACCAAAAGTAGCAGACGACGCGCCGTTTTCCTATCCATCTAGCATCAAAAGTTTCGTAAAACAACAAAAATTGCAAACAACCTTTTAAAATGTAATGAACGCCCATGTTTCACCTTGAAAAATTAACTACTTATTTTTAAACATTACATTATTTGAGATATTGTTTTAATACCACAATAGGTACTTTGTTGGACTGGCAATGTCTCCGGCCTTGGGACTCCGAGATAAACGTGGTGAGGATTGCGGTGGTTGCAACTTTACTTTGTGCCTTTTCGAATTTGATTATGCAGTTTTTTTTTTATTTTAGTGTCAATGAAGTAATACTGCAAGATAATAGTTGTATGTTTTTTTTTTCCTTTCATCTTTTTGTAGCGCAGAGGATTAAAAAACAAGGGCAGTGCGGTCTCGTTGATGGAGCTTATATTTATTTCTGGGTTGTCATTGAGTATAGTTAATGTTAAAATTTTATGGTTAAAAGAGTTACTGTTCGAACAGAGTTATTGTAAACTTTTGTCGACAGATGGTGACACCTCCCTGTATTGTTTTCATTATCATGCCGGAGTACTTAACGCTAAACAGGCGTAAGGCAGCAACCTAAACCAAATTTAAGCTTTGCTTTTCTCCGAGTTTGCTACCTCTCGTATTTCTGTGAAGCGTGCGCTTTCACTTGTGTTCTTTCTGAATACTCTTCAGTGAGGATTTTTGTGCTGTGGGTCTATTGCAAGTATATATCGCCTGCATACATCCATGCGGGTTTGTGGTGCGTGTTGTGAGAGGCATGGTTCTATGCATGGTTGCTCGCAAACATGGTCTGCATCGCTCAGAAGTTCGCGCATTTTTCTTAATTAGCTGATCGTTGCGGTCATTCCTAGTCATCGCTATGATATGTATGTAGTGGCTGTGCATGCGTGAATATACTATCGTTCTTGTCGTTCTTGAAGTCTCAGCCGTGTTTTTCGTCAATCGTTCGATGTGAGTAGCAAATCTCACCTTCCTAGCCTTCTGCGACATTGCAGTTAAGCCCAGTTTAATCATTTTGATCGGTTTTGGTTATGTGTAATGGTGTGCTTCCCACATTCGGGCTGTCTTGAGCAATTAGAGTTAAGTCGTGTTGAACGATTTTGGCAAATGCAAAGCTGTTCTCGTTACTACGTTGAAGTAATTGTGGTGTCAGCATGTTCGGAAAGGCGTGCTCATGTCTTCCACTGCCTCGACTCGAAAGATCATCGAGCAGTGTGTAATAAAATTATGTTGTGGAAAGAGTTGCTCGGCTTTTCTTTATGCGTCTCTGCCACGAAACCGCCTTATTTCATGCGTGTATATCTCATCTATAAAGGCTAGCTTATTGGGTAGGAGTTGAGATTTTGACTAGCAGGATCCCTCCTCCTTTTGAAAAACCAGAGGTCTTTCTCGTTTCATTGCCTGGATAGGCTGCTAATGGTTTTCTCGCACAGTTTGATAGATGTGTGGAGTTTAACGTCCCAAAACCAGCACATGATTATGAGAGACGCCGTAGTGGAGGGCTCTGGAAATTTCGACCACCTGGGGTTCTTTAACGTGCACCCAAATCGCAGCATACGGGCCAATAGCATTTTCGCCTCTATCGAAAATGCAGCCGCCGAAGCCGGTATTCGATCTCGTGACCTGCGGGTCGGCAGCCGAGTACCTTAGCCACTAGACCACCGCGGCGGGACTCCTCTGACAGTTTCGTTTAGTTGTTGCCGACGTCTGTACATATATTATTAGATGTGGATAACACTTATAGATTTACCTCGCCCCACCGCGGTGGTCTAGTGGCTAAGGTACTCGGCTCATGACCCGCATGTCGCGGGATCGAATCCCGGCTGCGGCGGCTGCATTTTCAACGGAGGCGAATATGCTGTAGGCCCGTGTGCTCAGATTTGGGCGCATGTTAAAGAACCCCAGGTGGTCGTAATTTTCAGAGCCCTCTACTACGGCGTCTCTCATAATGATATGGTGGTTTTCGGACGTTAAGCCCCCATATTTATTGATTTCGCCTCTTCGCGTGGCATCAATCTTAGACAAGCCCTTCAGTCGCGTAGATAAGCTTACTGGTTTAGCCACATCCGCTGCCTGCTTACTATGCATAGCTATAAGCTGATTTTGCTTGAAGTATCAGCACTTGTCGCAACAGAAGTGAATCTCTCTCACTGAGGAGCATCCAAAAGCAGAGAGGCAACCTTCCTTGGAAGCGTGGACAAGTGATTTTCTTGTTGAGAAATAATTGCATGTCTTGCTCTCTCTATACAGATGACACTGTCTTCCAAGGTTCATGTTCTGGTTACTGGCTGCAAAGCAAAAGGCTTCAGGAACATCTCCAGCATTGCGCACCGCTCTGTAAATGGACAAATACAGACAAGTGAGAAAGATGGAACCCTCATGAGATTGGCTGGGCTGCGACCTACAATCTTGTGGCTTCGACATGCATCAACAGCCACTAACAAAAACACCAACGCACTATCTGAGGCCAAGGATACAGATGGAGGGCAGCTTACCTTAGGCCAGAAAGGTGTGGACCTTTACTCTGAACCCAAGAATTTGTCCCCCCCACCTTTTTTTTCCTCTTTGTGCTTACAGTAGTGTAGTTAATCAAATGAGCATGAGTTTACAGCTTTACCTTACAGCTGGCTGATAAAAGTTTGTAATCTTAAATTGCTACTCCATTTCAGACTGTTACATCTTCATTTCTCTTGTATATGAGGATAATTGTTCGTGCTGTAACGTTGAAATTCAATAGTTAACCTACCAATCTGTCAAATGGCAAGTGTTTGTCAATTCTGTGAGCTGCAGGAAGGAACTGACTGCTAACCCGTTTATGCTAGTTGCTTTCTGTCCTGTAATTGCATAGAATTTTAAACAGTTGTGTTCCACCAAATCGCAAGGAGACCTTTGCAGTTGAAGAAAAATTCTGAGAGCTGGTGGAGTGAATGAGGTTCATTACTGAATCAAAACTAATTATTTTTAGAACAAAGCATGTTTTCTGAGGAACGTATATGGGCTTCCATTGCAGTTTTGTGTTACTGTCCTGTGTATGGTACTTAGTTTGCTCTAGTAAAACTCCCTCTATGTTAATGCATTTTGTGCATTTACCGTAAAGATTAATGATGCTACTGACACCCCTCCCCAACTTGTGCATAAACACGCATACAAACTGAAATAGTCTTTCCCCCAGAATGCACATGAGTGTTATGTGCAATTTGGTTGTTTTAGCATACTGGGATTCCATTTACCATTGCTGACCCAGACAATTGCATGTTATGCACATATCACACCTGTAGCTGGCAGGCACAGTGCAAAATGAGTAACATGTTCCAGGACGGTAGTGGTTCTTCTCATATGTGAATATTTGCCACTGGTAAATACCCATATACGAGAAAAGAAGCATAAAGCTACACTATGAAGGTATAACTTGGATCATCTCTAACATGGAAATAATGGAAGCAGCAACTTCGATGAGGAGGACTCTGTTTTGATAGTACTGGTACGTATAGTAACTGCTAGCATGGGTATAGCCCAGGCTTGGGAGCTGGGAGGTTAATGCACTCTTCAAATTCGCTGGTTGTTCACCATCTACGCATCCACTTAACACTTCTTCAATGTGAACTGTATTTTGACAAAACCAAAGTACTGCCTTTCCCTCGTTGTAACTTTTTGAAACCCTAGGCAAATTTTTAAAGTCGTCCCCACCTTTTCATTATTACCAGACATGCCATTGAACATCCACCGGGCCACCACGGTAGCTCGTTGGCTACGGTGTTACTTGGTGAAAAATTGACATTTGGGCAAGTTTGAGTTATGCATCTTGAAAAGGGTAGTGCAAATAACGAGGACAAAACAAGTAGTACAGTTGAACCACTTTTTATGAGGCATACTCTGGGCAGCAATTTTTGTCTTTTAGATGAGATGTCTCTCAGGGTACCATGTATGCATTTCCTATCAACCTATATTTTACTGTAGGCACACTGGTGTCTCTTATGCCGATTTGTCTCTTATAAAGGGTTCGACTATACAACACAACACACCACACAGGCACTGTGTGGTGTGTTGTGTTGTACTTGTGTCCTCGTTTTTTGCACTTCCCTTTTCAAGTTACATGGTAAAACTTGATGACTTGGACTTTATTGACTGTATTTCAATAGGACCATGGTGAATACTTTTCAATAAGGTGAAAGTTCAATTAAGGCAATTAGGTTAAAGGGACCCTGCAACACTTTTCGAGTATGGTCAGAAAATGCTGTCAATTGGTAATCAAGGCTCCAGACAACACGTGAGCCAAATATTATAGTACAGATTGCGGCCTGGAATTTACAATAGCTTCTCAAAGTCAGTAAAAAAATTGCTTTCTTCTCTCCTGACAAAGCATGCTACATTCTCAAAAAACATTGTCATAGGCCAAGTCACAGCCATTTGTTGATTTGAGCATGGCAGGCTCAATCATTACTGGGGCTCCTGCAGGGGGTTGCAACCTGTCGCGCATGCATGCGCAATCGTACTGAATGTTATGTGTTCAAATAAAAAAAAAGAGAAAGAAAAAGTGTTAAAGGGCAAGGGGCGCGTGTGACAGTATCTTATCCCCCTGTGCCATCCCTCGCTGCTTAGTTTCCAGCACTTTTGTTTAGACGATTGAAAAGTAAAGGCAATAGTAGCGTGCAACAAATCTAACTCTTCTCGTACGGACAAATTCTAAAAAAATTTGCAAGGGTCAATTCCTAAGGCAATAAGCCCCTTCACTGAATCAATTTCATGGCTACTTGGAAAAGTGTTGCAGGGTTCCTTAAAGACACACATCAGTGAACGCAAGGTGATTAAAAAGGAATCCCAAGTTCACTGCTATGGCCTAGTTATCATATCGTGGTTTTGGCATCTTATTGTATTTAGGTTCTGTTGTGCAGTTTGAGGTTTTAGTGCCACCATGATGACACAGGACCTTTCTGTTTTTGCATCTTAACAGGTATATTTTCATGAGATCTTCATTATTTTCCTTCCAGTGAAGCAGAGCACAAAAGACGCAAGCTACTTAGGTGTAATACTTGCAGGGCTTGGAGTAACAGGTGAGCTTGCTCCTCATCAGCCGATGAGCACTTCAACCATGTGCAACCTCGCAGTTTTTTTTTAATAATATCACATTGACCCATGATACGTAGTCTCTGACCCCATGATACAGTAGTGTCTATTGTTAGTGAGAAGCCGTGAGATGAGTTACAGGACGATCAACTTCACACTGGTTTTCTTGACCACACAGTTGCACAGACAATGCTAAAGGGGTCTATGCATGTTTACATAACTAGAGTAGTAGGCGGTGCTCACATTTGTGTGTGCTTTGTGCACTTGCACATTGTACAGCACATCTAGTTACTTTTCACCGAAATAAGACACTGCCATGCTCTCTGATCAATGCTTGCACCATATCATTAAAGGATTGCAAGGTAGTACAATGCATATTGTTCTGCCGGGTTTTGTGATAACGTATAGAGTTATGCGCACATTGTATATGTTTGTCATGTCGCATGATCAGAGCTTGAAGGAATTTTACTGCCACACTTAGCATAAAAGGTAACGCTATATTTTCAAAAATAATAAAAGCAAAAAAGCAGTTTCCTTTTTAATGGTTTCATAAAATATCTTTGTATTTAGCATGGCTTGCCATCTATCTTGTTCACGGTTGTTCATAGTGAACCATGTGTGCCGAAAGCTGTGCTCATCTGAAGCTTAGGGTATCACATGCTTCTTTCTATGCGAGATCAGCTTGACACACCTGAATAGAGATTGGTATCCATTTTGCTCAAAATATGAGTGAGTTTCTATTGTTTTAGCATTTTGATTTAGCACATTTAGTGACAATGGTGCAACTAGCTTTTTTTTTTTTTTTTTGAAAACAGGAGCAAACTTTCAAAGTCAGTGTGAGGTAGTCTGTCCCTAAATCTGGTTAATTTTACATACCCTTGAGGACATTTTGTATAGAAAGAGAAACACTGAGACCACTGCACCAATTTTTTTCTTTTTTTTAAATTAAACAATGTTTCACATATATATATAGCGCCCGCACTGCCAGTTGTTCAAAGGTTAGTTAGATTACTGTATGTGTGCCTTTTGTCTAACGTTACAGTGTTCATGCACAAAAAAACTTTTACTTAATGGTAACATGTATTTACATTAGCTCTATTCTATATTTCATTAAGGTGGAGTAAACTGGCTACTCTGCCCTAGGTTATACTTTTGGTAGGTGTTTATCATTCATTAATATTACATTCCTGAAACATTCACAACGGTTCTCGAGTTAAAATGTCAATCCTTCTGTACGTTTTCAGGACAAAGTAGGGTGTACAGTAGACTCTCAGTAAATGTAAATCTGTTAAATGGAACAGCTGCTTAAACAGAACTATTTCTTTTGCACAGCTTCATTTAGGGCTTGTATTCTGCACCTATGTTAGCCTCTCAGTAATTGGAACTCCTGTTTAATAGAATATACTTTCCTGGTCCCTTCAGGTTCTGTTTACCGAGAGCCTACTGAATATGTTATGAGTGTTACACCGCCCCGCCACGCTGGTCTAGTGGCTAAGGTACTCGGCTGTTGACCCGCAGGCCCCGGGATCGAATCCCGGCTGCGGCGGCTGCATTTCTGATGGAGGCAGAAATGTTGTAGGCTCGTGTACTCAGATTTGGGTGCACGTTAAAGAACCCAGGTGGTCGGAATTTCCGGAGCCCTCCACTACGGCGTCTCTCATAATAATGTGGTGGTTTTGGGACGTTACACCCCACATATCAATCAATCAATCAATCAATCAATGAGTGTTATACCACAGCAGAATATCTTTTATTAATTGAAGTAATCAGATTGGCTGTTTATTAAACAAAGTCTAATATTAACTTCGATTTGGCAGCATTTTCAATGAAGTGCTTAGCTAGCTTAAGCTGCACTTGCAAACAGGAAGCTATAAAAAAACAAGCAGTCATAGGACAAGGCAATTCGCATTGTAGTTGGCTCTTTCTGTCACTTGCCTGTGGCTGTTTTTATCATGATACACTAGATGAACAAGTTATTTCATTTTTGTTTAGAGCATGTTTTCAGTTCAAATGTAATAAGGTGTAAGTATGTGCAGCATGACATGCATTTCTTTCTATACCATTTACCTTATGAAATATGTTGTCTTACTCATCTGTGCAGGCCTAATGTTTTACACAATCTTCCATGAGCTTTTCTCGGGACATAGCCCCAACTCTGTGTACTCACGAGCTCTGGAACGCTGCCGAGCTGACCCCAGGGTAAAAGCTGCTCTCGGTGAACCTTTGCAAGGACATGGAGAAACAACCAGCCGAGGACGACGCAGGCATGTTTCTTTGATGTGTGGTTCTGGTGGGACCCTAGATAAGATAACATCGATTAGAACTGGAAGACCAAAGCTCAGAAACTTTCCAAATTTTCTTGAAATCGCAGACATATGTATTTTAATTCATTTATTTACCTCTAGCAATAACAGTACTATTACTGTGAATGTTCTCATAATCAGGAAATCAGCCAATAACTGCTGTGCTCACTTGGGCCCGCTTGTATCGTAACTTATGATGGCATCGCAAAGGACAGAGAAAGAATCTTTTTTTGGGGGCTGTTTTGTTTAGATTGGGCATTTTATGGTGTAGGCAGTGCAAAAATATTTGGCTCGCATGTTCAGATGAGCCTCACCTACAGATGTCTTGCATTTTTAAGTTTACACAATGTTTGGTCACTCATTAGTCCTCAAGTGTGTTTCAGAACTCCCAGAAGGTTCAAGATAACATACTAGGCTTCATTAGTCAGGCGTGCACTTCGATGACCACATATTGTGTGTTTCCTGCAGTTAAAAGGTTGTCCACATCTGACTCCTTATAGAAAGCAGAGCTAACATTCCTTGTGATTATGTTAGGCCAGCAAATGGACACAAGTACCCAAGAAAGTGAAAAGAGGGACAATCGCTGTCATTGCTCAAGTTGGTACTACTAAAGAGCATTGCATGCATCATATGAAGCTGCACGTTTAATTCCAGCCAGCCACAAATAGGTGGTATTCATAATGCTGTGTTCTGCGGCAGTACTGGCTGCATCCACTATCTTTGTAGTTGGAGAATCGTCTGCTAGCACCTCCGTTAAAAGACGTTGAGCACTAGTGGTTGGTGGAGCATTCAGGCATAGAAAACGCAGCAGTTTCTTTCAACGTAACAGATCTAACTTCACTGCTACAGCACCATTTTAAAAATGCTCCTGGACACATGTTCATTGTAGACTAGTGCACAACTTTAATGCCGCAACTAAGTTTCAACCTCTTGGTTTATGGGCCCTTTAGAAATATTGTGCTTATTGCATATTTTTTCTTCATTCATAATTCTACATTTCATAATAAAAGTATAGTTACTTTACCGTATGCTTTTGCTAGGTTTGATTGTCTAATGGAGTGTATATTCAAGAGTATACATTCAGCTAGATCAGTGCCAGTGTTTGTTTGGCGACTGTCACTAAATGCAAGTCAGAAGCGTAACAAACCTTTCATAATATTGGAAGAAATGCACTATAGTCAGTTGTTTCGTGACGATGGTGGTTAACTTTTATATATATTCCTAAAAACAAAAGAAAATTCAGAATCACACTTTGCACTACACAAAAATGCTATTGTTAACTGTCATTGAGTTGTTGTCTCTCTACATTACTGTAGAGAGATAACTTAGTATGAAACTATTGAATTATTATTATTATATTTTTTCATTTTCAGGCATGTTAGCCACATGGAATACATTAAAGATGGCATCAACTACATGCGTATGAAGTTCTACATCAAGGGGCCTAGCAGATCTGGAACTGTACATCTTGAAGTCAGAGAGGTATGCTAAAACACACTATTCCACAGCTAGCATGAAGTGTCTAGAGACTCACATTTTCTTAACTATTTGCTAAATTAGAGTTGGACACTATATCGTGCTGTCGCAACCTTTGTGCCTATCCCCTAGACCAGTGGTTCTCAAAAGGGTGTCCGCTGACCTCCTATGGTCCGCAAAGCCATTTCTATGATTCGCGAATTTCTCACCAGCATTTTTTTTTAAGCGTGACTGTGCCACGTATATGAACTGTCTAAAATAAAGTAATGTGGCACGTTTGTTTGATGTTTTTTGGTAGAAATAAAAGGCACCTGTTTCAAGCTCTAGTTGTGTTAATGTATGTATGTACGCTGAACGTTGTGTTAATTTATCTTCCCTCCGCTGCAAGGGGTCCCCCATCACTCCAACTAGTTCACAAGAGGTCCCCGACACATCCATGGATGAGAACCACTGCCCTAGACATATGTAGTGTGAGCCCAAATAGCGTCTGCTACTCTACTCCTATTAGTATTTGAAGAATAGTGCTGCTTTTATTCGTGTCATACGTGGGGCTTGCTAATTTGGCTGTTTACTACTAATGCTTGTGCGTTCAGCATTGTTATATTTTATAGCAAGAATATGTAACATGCAGTCTACATGGCGATCCTGAATGTTTTATTTCTCTCTGTCTAATTAACCCTTAGTTTCCTTGTCTCCTCAGGCACAGTTGTTGAAGTCCGGCATATGGTGATATATGAACTTTTTTTTTCTGCCTTTTTTAATATAATAAACCACTGGAAGCAATGCTGCACGTAAAAGAAAAAAACCACATGAGTGACCTGTGTGTGGTTTTGGTTTTATGTGTTGTGTTCCTTCCACTGGTTGTTTATTTTTTTCAAAAAATAAAAAACCAACTGGCCCAGCAATCTACGTTAATCGATTTATGCACCTATTGAGCTTTCGGTTTCTGCCTCATAGTGCTTTGATATCTATTTTTGTAGAAACACTAACAATACCAATTTTGCATTTATAAGTTTATTCTACTGCTGAGTTAAAACTCTTTGATACAAATGCCAGAAGTAAGCCTTATACTCTCAAGTTTTGCCATTACAGTGCCCAAGCCTGCCAATTCTCAGCGCCATGTATTATGACATTTAAATTTATCACAGGATTATCTCATGCAGTTCAACTCTGGTAGTTTATAAGGATCTCATCTACAGATTGGCAACATAACATTTTCGTTACATATTCAAAAATTGCTTTAAGGCCCCTTTAATTTCAACTAGAATATCATTTACCTCTATTTTCTTTCTAATCTACACTAATGTCCCTCTGAGTCAATGTACTGTGTAAAATTTTCATTTCATTGCACATTGCATGTGCCTTATTTCTCAGGTATTTTTGTTAGCCTACAAATTTCTGCCCCATATGTTAGCACTGGTAGAGTGCAGTGGTTACATGCTTTTCTTTCCAGGGAGAGCTGCCTGTTATGATAGGGTAGTACCTGCCATATATGCTCCAGCCCATTTTTATTCTTCTATAAATATTCTTCTCATTATATGGGCCCCCTAGGTTAAGATCATTTTACATATATTATAGAGGCTGACTGCCAGTCACAAATATTTGGGGTGAACCACCCTAAGACTGCACAATGTCCCTCCGCCCATAAACCACTGCCTGGCATCTACAGCAAATCTAGAAACAAAAACATCTGTAAACAACAAAAAGGTTATTCACCAGACCAAACAAAACAAAAGACCACAACACCAGAAACACAGTAAGATTTAACCACCGATCAACTAAAGAATATGATAGAACAAAAGGTTAACAAAAACAAAATAAAATGCTGTTATCTAGAACAAAATAGAAGGATTCACGATCCAACCCACACTGCTTCGCCCCAACATCAGCATTCACTTCGTGGATATGCATGAGTTTTTTGGTTCTCATGCTAGGCAGCTGAACATTACTTTTGTGTCCTGAATATAAGTATTCAACCCTACTGCTGCATCTTTTGGGGTAAGTTCTCAGTCATTTGTTGCATTTAATTGCCATCATTTCTGAAAAGTAAAATACGTCTTCAGTTATAGGTTGTTGTATTCACCACTGAGACTCACTCCTGCACCTTCCAAGTCTTACAGCTTGAATGAACTTAAGCATGATGCTACTCTAAGCGCAATGCCTCCATGACTACTGATATCTCTGCAAAATCAAATGCTTTTGATACTCATTGAAAGTCATATAGGTAAGTTGGTTGTGCTCTGCAGGTTTTTCAACTGCCCGATGATAATGTAGATGCGATCTATTATAACGTACCCCTTCCAGAAGCCAGCTGGTTCTCTTGGCTGATTAAAGTATTGCCCTATTTATGTTGGAAATAACAATGATACATATTTTTTTCCAATACTGAAAGCAAGTTAACAAGGGTATTATTGCCAAAGTATTTAATGTCTCCCTTTTTATTGAAGCAGTATGGCATTGCTATTCTTCCAACTCTATGGTACAGCTGAAGCAGTGAGTCATTGAGTGTAGTGGTCTCAAACTTAAGTATAATATTGCCTCCATTTTTTATTGAAGGAACTGCTATTCCATCTTTCCTGCTGCTTTTTCTCAGGAAATGCCTTGCAAAGCTTACTTATTATTCATTGTTCATTCATGCTTTTTTGTGGAGTGTGAATTGTGTGTGGAATTGGGCTTTTCGTAGGCATGTGCAGCATTGGGAATGACCATGTCTCGAGACTACTATATGTTGTTTTGAGGATGGGCAAAGTTTTATATTTGCCAACTTTACCAAATTTTTACCAAAGTTGTCACATTATGGCTTGTTTTTGTGAATTTGACATTATGTTTTACAAAAAGGAAGTATTAACAAATGAAAGGTTTAAAGACTGTTCAAAGATGGAGTGGCACAAGATGCCATATGCTTGGAGGATACTTTCTCATAGTTACTTTATTCAAGGTAGTTTTTAAAGCATATGAAATCAGCAGCAATAAAGTATGGAAAAGGCTACTGTAATATAAAAGCAGCACATTTCCTAGCATCTGCTGTTTCAAGTTGGCAACTGCTTGTGTAGTGTCTCCATGTTTGGAGCAATGCTAATTAACTTTTTATGCATACCTCAATAGTGTGCACCTAGAAAAAAGGTGTTGCAAATAGATTCCATCACCTAATCTCCATCCTCCTAAGCTTTAAAACTTTTTAGACTGTCAGGATGGTGAGAATACAGTTTTGTTTTTTGAGATTCATCAATGAGAAAACATCCACAGATGTTGAAACAGCTGAGCAATGGCTTGCTTACAACATGGAAGTGATAGACTGGTGTAATGAGAAAGACAACATTTGTTATACCACTATACATTAATAAAACTGTATTTTATCATAAAGCAAAACATACTATTTATGTAGGCATACTGAAAAGGGCACATTTATACTGTAACCACATGTTTCAAATAGAAACAGCTATCTTTTTTAGTACAACTCTGTGGAGATAGTAATGTCTGCTTGTAGCACTGAATATTAATCCGTGGCAAAGTACAGAAACAACACTTTTCTCAGCTTTTATTGCACAGCAAACTCTGCCGAAAGAGCACTCAAAGGAACTAAATAATGTTTTCTATCTAAATGAAGCTTCATTCAGTGGGAAGACTCAGAATTTATCAGCAGTCATGTATTTCAAAGGTGTCTTGAGTTTTCTGAAATTATTGTAATACAGAGAGAGGCTTTACTATACAATTTTTCTGAAACTCTAGGTTTTAGGTACCTCCAATTATTACGATCAGTTAGCTACTCTGACAGCATTTTTCATCCTTCATTTTTTTATTGTCCATTGTGCTGAGAACGAGTATCACCAATATTAGTGGCATAATGGTGTCTTAGTCACTGGATCGACTTTAAACCTGCTGTGGCATATCGCTTATGATTGTTATTATAAAGATAATCATGAGGATGTGCCCTCTTTACCTACGAAAAGGTGCTGAAGCAGTGGTATCAGATACAGTGTTTGGGTGCCATGAACACTGTTTATAAAATTAAGTGCACATCAATTATTTGTGCACTTGACTTTTTCTGCTGCTTGCTCCATGGATGTGGTCAATGCTCCATGGTCATGAACGTTGCCCTTGCACAGTTTAGTGAAGAGAGATTAATTCTGGTTTAAGTGGTGTTTCAGGAAATGGATTAGGAAGATTATCATTTCGCTCAACACGAGAACTTCAATTGTGGGGCTTAATGGGGGGTTAGGTATATAACTCTAGCTATGCCTGTTTTCTCATATAAACTTGAGCAGTTAGCATTTCTCATTCAGATGGGATGTTTTATCTTGTTAAGGGAGTATTTTCTTTTGTTAGTACTGGTGGTCCAAGAACATGCATCAAAGTGCCATTAAAAAATGAAGCCTGCTACTTGAAATACTTAGGTGCTCTTCTGAGGTACAAGGCATTTGTGGAGCAAAGCCAGAGCATGACAGGGCCCTGGGGAGTTTGGTTGTTTTGTTAGCATCTTGCAGAACATGTTGTTTGCTAGATTGGTTTCTTAAATGCCGTGGAACTTTTTTTATGGCATTATCTTGTATGCTTGTACCTTTTCTTTAAGCTATTGCCATTAAGATGAATTTGCAGTTGTTCAGTATCCCTACAACACAAATGGAATAACTGAAACCACAAGACTTCACGGTGCATTCTTCCTGTGTCTCCATTTTTCACACTGTAGGAATTCTTGACTGGTGCCCTATGGCCCAGCTTACCATTTCTCGCAAATTCTACTTTGTTTTTGTTATATATAGAGGGCTTGGCATTATATTTAATATAAGGAATGCCTCATTATTCAGGGTACTATGAAATATGCAAAATGTACAAAATGCCTGGAAACATGGCATCTTTAGTTTGTCAGCTCAATTTTTTCGTTTCTCAACAGGACAGTCACAAGAACTACGAGTACCGCTACCTGTTTGTTGATCTTGATGGCCAACCAAAGCGGACGATCATTCTAGAGGACAATAGGGAAAGCAGAGGTCCCAGCAACACATTTGATGTTATTTAGAAGCAGCACTGATCATCTCAACCATGTATATGTAAATCCCAAAAAGCAGTGATAATAAAAAAAGTGTGGTTTCCTCGTGCCACTTTTCTTTTGCTGTGTAGAAGCTATACAACTTTTTTTTTCTCTTTGCTTACGGAATATTAACCCTTTCCCTGGTGAGTTGCATTTTTGGCCAGAAGTGATACAAAATGACAGATCTTTTTTTTATTTGTCGGCTTAATTCTACGTGTCCTGCTGCAACTAAAAAAACCTATTAAAAGGCACTTTACTCTCAAGATACAAGCAAATTATTTTTGTTGAAAATATGCAAAGCTTTGGCTGTGCTGCACTGCACCCTGGAAAGTGCCCGAACCTCTCCAGTGTTCACTGCAAAAAATGTCTCTAAATTTTAAAGAATAATGTGCTGGCACAAGGGAGCCGGTGAAAAGAAGCCTTACACACCGAGGGGGGGGGGGGGGGGGGATTGTGTACATTTATCAGCATCCACTGCTTATACATAGAGACATGGTCGTCGTCCAAAACTGATGATATAGAGAAAGTGTGCTTCTCTGTGTAGTCCACACTTGCAGGACATATTTGTTCTACAAAACTTCGGCAAATAACTGATTCCCCCCCCCCCTACCCCACCGCTGAATAGAGCTGTTTGCTGCACACGTGAACCGGTCACGCACTGTGGAGGACATCATTTTATAACTTAGAATACCTTATTCCAGTCCTTTCTCAACCGAAATGCTTGCTATCAGAATCTTCTAATATTAAAAAAAAAAAACTGTGAAGGCTCAGCAAGCCAGTTAAAAGCACCCAGTGCAATTTCTCATGCGTAAAATTAACACAACCGTAGTATAATAGCATTCAATCATAATTATACATTATCACACAGCATGTAACATTAAATTGTTTCAATACCATAATACCCACATTGCAATAACAATAATATACGATATATTCATTGTACTAATTTTCATTTTTCTTTAGTACTACTTTTATAGATGATCATGGTGTGAACCTTTGTTATTACTACCAATTTGAATATATCGTAGGGCCTGAACCTACAAACCTGAGATTAAGAGTCTCACGCTCTACCGACTGAGCTAGCTGGGCAAGGATGCGGCTTTGTCTCTTTGGGCGTGCGCTGCTTTGCGGAAGGTTTCCTGTGGTTGTGCTTCCTGTGGCTGGAAGATGCGAATACCAAAACACCTGGCATAGAGGCCTCTGCGACGCGCCACAATGCTCTTGAATACGATCCGTAGCCCACAGAGGAGTCACAGTAGGTTTTCGAGGACCTGCGTAAAGTGAGCAGACCCTGGGGGGGGGGGGGGGGGCAGTAGGATGTTGACCGGCGATTGGCCTGCGCTCACCATTGCCGGCCTCGCTTATTTCCCAGCGGCCAAGACGTGGTTTACTTAAGCACTGGCTCCTGTAGTGGCCCCGACCTCCACATTGGAAGCATACTGGAGGATTCCTGCCTATGCCTCCTGCATCAGAATGGGCGGTGGCTGCTTGGGCTGACCTTGGTTCAAGGCGCTGGGTGAGGGTGTCCCACGTTCCCGAGTCGTTAACGAAAAGGTGGACGGAGCAGACATACTGTAGTGGCTGAATGGGTCTAGAGCCCTTGGTGCCGATGACGGCCTACTCTTGTGTTTCATACCCTCACTTAAGACTGTTCCAACTCGAGCTATTGATATGTGTTGCATACAATGTCAAATTTTGCGGGTGTCGGAGTCGATTATTGTACTAGTAATTAACGGGGCACTGTGTCAGTGCCCCGACAGAATTTGTTAGCAACTTACACTGTGTGAAAGAGGCTTTAATTAGCTCAGTGTGTTGCTAAATTTTGACAAAATACTAAAAGAGAAGGTACACGAAGACAAATACAATATTGCACAATCACCGTGTTTCTTGTTGCCACTTTTTGTCAAAACTGCGCATTCATCCATGAAGGCGCACCAACTAGCCCTTGCGGCAACGGAAATGAGTCAGCATATATACATTATGAAGGTAGTGATAACCCCTCCTTTCACGAGCACAAATAGGATTGCTGCATGTGTGTTGTACCCACATACATGCTTGCTTACATTGGCCACATGCACGTTTCCATACGTGATCTGCTGTTTTTAACCTGCTCATGTGAAACTTGGGTATGTTTTTTTTTACCAATCAGCAGAACTATAAAGCCACGAGCACACATCATTAGCAGGTCTGCCTTCGTTTTACCATCTTCGATATAAGTGTAGAGGAGAGTAGGCTATAAAGCTTTTTGAAATGTAAAAACCAGAGGGAAACACTTTGGCCTAGATTACTCAAGATGAAAATGAAAATTGTATGTAGTATGGACTGAACATAAAAGTTCTTTTTGGTTTCTCCTATGTGCCTCTGCATACAGTATAAGCAACCTTATAGGTAACCTGCATTGTTTGGACACTTGAAACTAAAATTATAGATATTCCTCACGTATACCATTTCCAGAAGCATCAAGTTTGTTAGTATTTGTTTTAGCATATTTACTCATTTCAATTTTGTGCTATAACTAAAACACTTTTGGTATATTTAAGACCCCAGAACAGATTTTTTAGGTAAAAATTTAATTGCATCTTGAACTGAAAGCTGTAGTTGCAATATATTCAGAAGGATCTGACAGTGACCTCTCTTAACCGTCAGCAGTCGCAGATCATTCAAAATGTAACAGGAAAGGAACAATATTGTGACGAAATTTTCTAGTTTTAAAACATGCCCAAGTTCAAAACTATTAAAAAATGGGCAATGTCATCTGCTCATTTATGTTTGTGCCTTAGGAACCTGCTGCAATAAACCGGTATCCTAACGCTTAACGTTTGCTCATCTTATTGCACTTTCAAATATGCAGGTGTAAGCCACATTGGTGTGCTCAAGGAGCTTTGTGGTTTCTAACACCATCAAGGGTGTTGTAGGCCCTCAAAGAGCAACATTATCGCACCTAAAAACATTCTGCCTTATCTGAAATTGTAAAATATACGCGACACCCATTAAATGATGTTTTTCAACGAGACATTTAAAACTCGCCAAAAGTTTACTCACTTGGACTCACTCATGGCTCAATCTGAGTATGGATGAGTCGACTTCTGAGTGAGTGAGTCGACCTATGGTAATTTTTATCTCCTTCGATGCTTTGACCATCTTTGCAGCTTACTTTTTCTCTTTAATTGGCAACAAGTGTTTGCTGGCAATGCCAGTAGAATGCAGCGTCTGCCAGCACTAATATATCGATAGATTATGTCCAAAATTTTGAGTAAAACATCAATAGATACATCCACTCAATTGTATTCCTTTACTTGGAGAGGCTGTTTATTTGGCTCAATTGTGCTGTAGCAGGGTTCTAATTGACAGTATAAAAGGCTTTGCCCATGAGGGTCCGATATAAAAGTACTGTCCCAGCAGTGCCATAACATGTTAAAATTTTTAGTACTGAGGCGTGCAAATATCTGAAGCCTCAAATACTGGTTTCGATGGGTTGGTATTCGGTTCCATAAACAAGGCACTTTGATTATTCAAAAAATTCGAATACCACTTTATCAGAAGTATTGGCATCAGCTCAAAGAATTTTACAATTGTGCTGAATTTTGCCAAATTTGATGTACAGATCGACCAATTCATTTTAGTTGCCACGTACAGTCCCGTCACCCCCTAAAAGCAATTTTGTGAATTTTGTGCTAGTATTCAAACAGAGAGGCTTATGGATGAGATTGTAAGTGAGACCAAATATGTTGTTTCAGTACAGTGCTGAAATTATGCTAAAGAAAACTTCCAAAACATGTGGGCAGCCATTGCAAAATTATGAGGTATCTAATAATAAGAAAGCCCAGCATTATTCTGGGGTTTCCTCAAATGACGCAGCTGCCATGCAGGTCAATCAGTTGTCATAGCTCCTCGCAGTTGAGAAAGCATGCTCGGAGGCTTGAACTATAATGGCAAGATTAAAATACCAGCACTTGCGTGGCTAGTCAGCGGTTCTTTTCATTGTCTGGAGGAATGATTATCGAAAGACGTGAACATTAAAAATTTTGATGGTGCCCTCCTGTGAGTTCTGCCACTGTACTGAAGAGGAAAAATCATTTTGAGTGTATGTATGCCAATTAAGTGATTATAAATGATAATTAAAACATAAGGTAACTCTAATGTAAATTAAGGGATTCAAAGTTGGATCAAAGCAAAGAAAGCTGATTAAAACAAACATTAATTAATAGCTTGTGATGTATTAAATGGAATTACAGGTGAAACAAGAGTAAGATTGTGCTTTCCTTTGAGTTACCTAAAAATGATGTCAATCCTATATCTTTTTGTAACAACATGTGCGGTTAACGAAGACGATAGAAAGAGGACAGTAGAAGTGGGCATGCATTAAGTTGAAATGACCAGACATCCCAATTTAGGTGGGACATATCCTGGTTTTGCAGCTGTCCTGCCAACCAGCTTACGGGACGGTGTTTTGTCCCACCGCTCTCCTTCAGTCTTCTTTGCACACATTTCCCGCTGATGTCTTCGCTTTCCCGCGCATCTGCACACTGCGCACGCTATGCGGACATTCTGTTTGACCTTGCTTAATTCCGTCATTCCGCAATACTCCCAGTCCCGCTTTCAGTCTGAGGAATATGGTCACTTTAGATTAGAGGCGCCCCCTCCAGCACTTTTTGATGGTCTAACGCTGCCGACCGGTAGTCGACGCTCCCAAGAAAACGCAACCGAAACGTTATAGTGCAGTACGCGCAGTCTGGACTTCACAATAAATTCTCAGAGTCAGCTTATGATTACTTTATTTTCTCTCGGCAAATGACGATACAAGCTCAAACATCACACGTCACAGCCATTCTATCAGCCACTGCTATCAGCCATTACTTTATCTGAGCATGGTGCGTATGGTCGTTATTCGGGCCTGCGGGAGGCTGCGATTTGTCCACACACGCGCGCACGCGATCGCACTGAAAAGCCGCACATTCGAACCAAAAAAAAAAAAAAGAGAGAGAGAGAGAGAGAAAGTTCAATGTCTCGAGGCGCGTGTGACGAATTTTTTCCCCCGTGCCACCCCTCCCCAGCTGCTTTTGTCGCGAAGAGAGAACGTGCGACAAATCTTCCATCTAGAAGCTCCGCTTCGCTTCTAGATGGATAGATTCTAAAAATGGTTGTGGTGGTGAATTCGCTAGGCAATTAGCTCTTATTAAGGGCATGTCATAGCTACTTGAAGTAGTGTTGCAGGGCGTTTCACGGCCCCTTTAAGTGGGACAAAACAAGCGAGGGCGCATACACCACGTCTATCAAAATATCGACGGAATACAACGGTCAGTAGACGCTAGAGATGTAGGTTGGTGACAATCTATATTCAGACGAGTGCTCTTTCGAGTCGTTTTAACGACCGCGGTCTAAGCACTTGCACAGCTGCCGCTCGACAAGAACAATTTGATTACATGTAGCTATCATCATCGTGTCTGTGATTGTTTCGTCAGTTAGTTACATAATGGCAACATATTATTGGCTTGTTTGGGTGACGCTCGCGTTAAAGAAAACATATACTCAACATTTTCAATTTATCACCTGATAGTGACAAGAAACTTTAGCTTGCACCACACGTTCGCACATATACAGTGTGTATTCCCTTTCTAAGCTGCATTGAAAAAAAAAAATGCGTATAAACTATTTTGTCTTACTCGCTGTTGCTTGTGAACATATAGTTTCATACAATAACTTTATGCCCCCGTAAACATCTGCTGCGATTATGGCGTGTTTGGGTTTTTTTTTTTTTTTTTTTTGTGGCGTGTTTTAGTGGCGCCAGTGCTGCGGCGTGCATGGCGCGTAGTTGTGTTGAATCCACTTATCTCTACTAGGGTCTGGTTGAATCGCGTTTCCGAGTTTCGTTTCGTCGTCTGCACAGGTGTGCGTGTATGCGGTTCGCCATTTAAATGATCCTACATGTATTTCGGCGGGTGTCCTTTCGGCCGTCTTCGTACTTCCTGGTGTGTTCGTATTGGTCGCAGCCTAGCTTGGGTGAGAGAGATGCGGTTTTTCTATATGCTGGGTTTTGCCTGCAGCTACCTTTGCGTGGAGTGCCTTCGCCCGCTGCCAGTTATGTTAGGGGCATCCTAGGATCACCCGGAATGGCTCCGCAGAAGCCCCCAAATGTGCTTATTTTCACTGATGAGGATGTGGGATCAGACCAGCCTCGTTTTCAAGCTGTGAAGGAAACTTTGAGCATGTGTCTCAGCCCGGATAACTACGCCGTTTACCCCCTGTCGGAGAGCCAGGTCTGTACGCTATCATGTCCGTCATAACGTTCAAAATAGTTGCTTTTATGTCTTGGCACGTGACATTTGTTGAGTGATGTCTCGGCACTATGACTTCTTTGGTTTCACATTAACAGCAAACATGCAGGCTCACCTATATCAACGAGGAAACTGCTGTATATTTTGAGTAGTGGTGCTTAGTTCAAGGATTAATCGCACCGTAGGTGTAGAAATGTGCCAGGAAATATGTCTTAGAAGGTCTGACTGTTGGTCTATAATCTTTACTCACAAACTTGAAGCGAAAAAAAAAAAAAAACTCCTACTCCTCGCCTGTTCTCTGTGTCTGGTGTCCATGAGTTCTTTTAGTGAGCATTTAGAAATTAGAATTGAATGTCTGGTTTATAATTTCAAATTATAACATAGCTAGGAGCATATTGACGCTAAGTAAACTAAGTCTGCTTTCTACTTAGCAACCTGGCTGCACACAAACTGACAATGTGGTTGTTCTTGCACCAAATCTCAGAAATCAACAGCGCATGAAATCTTCCTACATACACTGTAAACCAACTTTTTATAATTGTTTCATCACAGTAACTTTTTGTGTATGTGTGATCATTGCAGGTCAAAAGTACTCCTTGGTTGACCAACACCAAGCTCCTTATTGTTGCTTGCAGTGAACTAAGCAGCACAACCAGCCGCATCTTTAGAGAATATTTTCTACGGGGAGGGAATCTTCTTGTCATGGCTGCAAAATTAGACTTGCCTGGAGTTCGACCGATGGAACACATATCAAGGCGTCAAGATATTGTTGAAGTAACATATGACAAAGCAGAAGACGTTGCAGTCTTAAAAGGTGACGTTGTCTACCAGTTTGACCCAGGTACAAGAGTTAAAACTTTGGCGTGCGATAAGGATGGTGCTGGCATCCTCTTTGAGCTTAGAGGGTGCGGCAGCAATGGATTAGCACTTCTATCACAGGTAAAAGCATTTGTTTATTTTTATTCAATATTTTTAATAATCTTTTACCTGTGTAGAAACATGCTATTGCTCTAATACATTTATTTTATGCTGTACAAAAAATATACATTGCTTCGGAAATATTAGAAGTGTCTTTTTTGTCTGTTTGATTTTCAATCACATTTCTGCATATGAGTGCGCAGAAAAAGTGGTGCAAGGGTGTGTATTGTCGCTGTTTTTTTTTCCTTTTTGAAAGTCACAGAAAAGAAAAATTCTGCACTGACTACTACAGCTGCTGTTTAATTTCTGCTGAAAGACAGCATTCTATGGCTCGAATAGTTTAACATTATACTTATTACAGTTAATTGCCCTATAAACAAAACTAAAAGCTAACTTGCATTCCACAATGGGTAAGCTAGCTGCTGCAGAAGTTAGGATAAACCTGTTTGCACAAACATTAGCATAAGCCTGTTTTGCCTCCTTTCGGCAGCTGCTTGCACTACCTTCCCATCCACTAACTTCCTGGTACATGTAGTCAATGCCACATCTCTTTTCTTAAAAATCAGACACTTATCAGTGCAGAGTTGTGCATAGGATTATCTTTCTGAAAAGTTTCAGTAGGAAGTCACTAGTGGTAAATATAAATTATCTTCCTGTGATATTCAACAGAAAACACACATTCCTGTCCGTGCAGATAATATGGACAGTAATTTGGTATGCATTCATATTACTGCCAATTACATTTAATGAGGCTAAGGGTAAATTTTTTAGGAGAAGGTGATTTTGAGAGATTGAAAGAGTGGAAAGTTGAGTAGGAAGCAAATAAACTATGGCCATTGACCATTTAGAAGACTAAAACTGACATTTAATGTGGGTTGTGAAGCACACGAGTGGGTATTTAGGTGCTGATGTATTTAGAAGCAAAAGGCTGCTGTATACTAAAAGGAGGTCTATCCAAAAGCTAGTCCTAGTTTTTATCTAGTCTCTGCTCTGGGGATGTGCAACGTGTTTTTTTCAAGTGTATGCTGCGGGACTTTCAGTGTGACAGAAAGGAAGAAGGGGCTAAGAAGATAAGGTAATACTCCTTGAAGTTTTGTTATGCATAAAATGTCTTTTCATTAAGCATAGATGTACTGTAGTCTGTTTAAGATTTTGCATCTGAGCTGCAAGTAGAGGCATCACGAAAAGCTCTAAAACGTAGGCGTTTGTAATACTGAAACTGAAAAAGAAGAAAAAAAAACAGTCTTTACAACTTGCTCACACACAGAAAAAGACATAACCCGAACATTTGAGAAACAGGTGATCTGGGTAACACCTTTTGGAAAAGGTACTGGTGGGTACATCGGAAGTGTCAGTGAAAATATGTTGGAATTTCTGCTGTAGCTTTTAATTAGCATGTGCAAGCAAAAGTATGTGCTTGCTAATTTCAAGTTGCACACCTACCTATAATTAGCAGAACTGCTAATCACCTGGTCTGCTTAGGTGTAAATGCAGTTAAAGAGACAATTTCACAATTTACCATTTTTATAGCCCCGTCAACACTACTTGAATATATTAATTGTGTTCATTTATAAACGACTTAAACAACTTAGTAGCCAAATATAGTAGCAGTTTATTAGAACTTGCTGTGTGGCTGGGCCCCGCCGCGGTGGTCTAGTGGCTAAGGTATTCGGCTGCTGACCCGCAGGATGCGGGATCGAATCCCGGCTGCGGCGGCTGCATTTCCGATGGAGGCGGAAATGTTGTAGGCCCGTGTGCTCAGATTTGGGTGCACGTTAAAGAACCCCAGGTGGTCGAAATTTCCGGAGCCCTCCAGTACGGCGTCTCTCATAATCATATGGTGGTTTTGGGACGTTAAACCCCACATATCATATCAAATATCAAATCATTGCTGTGTGGCTGGCTGGTAATAATGAAAATTCGGCACAACTTGGCACTCCCATATTCACACACGCATTCGCATACATAGATGCTTACGATCACAAGAATATTCTAGATATATACAAAATGCATAAGCACCAATATTTTATTAGTCGGTGCTTTTGCTTTTATGATGCTATCTTTACTTGATAATTGTGCATAGTGTTCTTTAATGAGTCAATCTTGTTTGAAATTGAGAGCTCATGCTTACTCTCGTAGAAATTATGAAATGAAGGCTATGTCATATTTGCTTTCTGTTACAAGCATCAAGAATAATTCATGCTTGTGATATTACCAACTTCCTGTAATGAGGATTGTGTTCTGTGCTATGTCAGTGCACATTAAAAAACACCAGATGGTCTAAATTGCCAAAGCCCTCTACTACGGCATCTCTCATACTCGTCTTGCTGTTTGGGGATGTAAACCTTCAGATATTATTAACTTCCTGTAATGGGGTGAATTGTGAGGTTGTGGCCTTCTGCTGTTAAGCTTGAGGTTGCATAAGTGCTTGCTTTGCCCTATTGGTACTGCTCTGCTCAAAATAGGAGCAATAAAATAAATGCATGAAGTGGGGCACCATCCAATCTTTATTTCTTTCTTTTTTTCATGCTCTTAGTTTGGTTATTATTGCATCATATTCTGGGTGGCAGCAGCTGTATTTCAGTGATAGCACAATGCAACATTGCTGTTCTGTAAGATATAAGTGCTCAGCACCTCAAGTGGTCTTAGTGTACCATCCTAATGAGCCAAGTAGTTCTTGTTTTTGCTTTATTTTTTCCATCAGAGTTGAATATTCTACTTTCTTATTTTCTAGATTCATTTGGAGTTTGACCCTGTGTTCTTCAGTACGTCCGAGGATGTGTTTGCAAAACTCAAGAAAGCAAATGAGAACAGGATATCATTGTTGAGAAACATTCTTTCCACACACTTTCACTTGAACTGCAGTATCAGCGTCTCCCACAAGTTGTCTTCGGGAAATGTGTTTGCTGCAGACAAGGTGAATCCATGATGCTGGTTGTGAGTTTGCCTCAGTGGTGTATTTATCTTGTAACAATTCAGTGTCTACCACCTTCTTTCCTTACTTATTTTATCCTTCTATGCAGACGGTGCTTTTGGATTTTTTGTCTAGACCACAAACTGCATCTGGTTCACTTGTGGATAGTGGAATCACATTTCACTATCTCACAGCAGACAATGCTATGTCCATGACGCCTACAATAGACTGCCTGCCTGTGATTATTCCGTCTAGTGATGCATTCTTCAGCAGCCCTTCTTTCAACAGTGCAATCTACTTTACTGCATTGAAGACACACAGCTTGGGCAGGCTAGCCCTTTTTGTTGAGAATGTAACCACCACCATGGCAGCTATAAAAGCGTAAGATTACATTTCTTTTTCTAAAAATGTGCTGCAGTGCTTTTCTTGTTCTTTCTTTTTGTTCGTTCAGTGCACATTTCTTTTTGCTTAGTAGCCTCTGTGGAGTTTATCACACTTGAATGTCTATCTTTGCCTGTCTATTAAATACTCTTTTAAATAGTAGATCTGTCAATGAAAAAAAAAAAAAGATGCACCTTTTATTCTTCTTTCTTGAATGACAGAATAGTTCACTACCAGCGTATATTACATCGAAGTGTACAAGGGCCCTATAAAGCACTTCTGCATAAACACATCATCCCACCTAATTCGTGTCATCTAGTCATGAACATCTACTTCATAATGTCTGTACCAAGGGCACACAGGAAACTGCTTTGCTAGTAAAACTGAAATTAAAACCCAAAGTGTACTGTCATTATCATGGCAGTGAACTGAGCAGTCACTGATGAAAACATAGCTTGTTCTGTAGGTCTGCAATTTGATGTTTTCAGTTCTACTGTGAAACATTCTATGGCTACTCACAATTTTTTTAATGGTTATTTCAACATTTTTTTTTAATCTTAGTCTCACTGCTGCATTAAGGAGAGGGGCTTCCTTAACAAAGTTTGGACTAAAAACTGCAGCTACTCATGATGTTTAAAAAGACTGTGTACGGTCCTTCAGTGCTCCCCTGTTTTGTGTCGCACTAAAAAGCGTACCATGTGAAGTGTCTATCTTGCAGCAGTTTTTCTGGAAAGTGCGTAGAAATTTTTAAAACAGCTGTCCGCGTTGTGTCTCCTTTCATCGGTGGGATGAATGCTCACAACACTGGTCGGTGCCAGTGAAAGGTGAAAAACTGAAACCGCGTGTGGTTTTCGCAGGCTTTATGAAGTTTGGTTATTAATAAAACAAATACCTCAATGGTCGTTTTAGGCATGCACACACTTTTTTGTTGTTCTCATGAGTGGCGGCAGACGCCGTGGTCGCGTTTCTTCGCCGTTCCCAGGCAGGTTCGTTAGCGCTGCCGGCTGACCACCAGCAGTGCCAACGGGCGCCTACGTGAACGCGTGAGAAAAAAAAGCAAAAATTGGTCTCTGGGGCAACCTAAAGCTGCCTCAAGTGCCCAAAATACTAATTCAAGTTAAACGTTTGTTTTTAAGCAAAATAGGTCTACCTGCAAGGATTTCTTGTGCTACCAATAGACTGTCAAGATTGACTGCATTCGCTGTTGGGTGACGCTTGTGGTCACTTTTTATCGACTTTCAAGATCAAGTTAAAATGATAGTTCCTTTTTTCTGGCATGAAAGCATGCTAGTTGCCGTCGATGTGATGAGTGATCTTTTCATTTGCGCCACAATCATAAAAATTTTTCAGGGCGGTAGGCAGTCCCTTTAATGGTCTTTTAAGCCCATTTGTTGAGTTCGATGTTTCTGAATTTTTTAGATATCTTATTTTGGGGGGGGGGGGGGTCATAGTGATGTAAATGTAGAAAAACAGATAATCTTGGCCATTCACTCTTTCAGGCTGCTATGCTGTGGTGTGGATATTCTGTTGTGATAAGTGGACAAGATGGGTCGCTGAAAAGATTTTTTTCTCTAAATTCATTAGTGACACGAAATGCTTCACAACTCAATGATTCTCCACAAAGGAGCTTTCGCTGGGATTCTTTGTTGGATCTCTTTCTCTGGCTGATGCTCTAACATTTGTCGCTATCAGGTCTTCTTTCGTTGTTTGTGGTGCAGTTGTGTACGTCTGGTTAATTACTGTGACTAAGGAAGAATTGTATAATATTTAGTTCACATTTTTTACCATAGTTAGTTACTGTGCCAGTTTAGGGATACCTCATGATGCTCAAAGGCAGCTAGTGAATGGGGAAAGAAGATGAGTGATGGGGAAAAATGGGAGGATAAAAAAGGAAGTTGCCAACCTCTGGCTGATAATCCATTATTAGTGAAGACCAACCGCGTTCACTCGGAAAAGCAGGCTGGTTGTTGGTCGTTTTTACTGCCTTGCAGGAGATACATTGTATCAAAGTAAAGAGACCTTGAGATGTCTAAACTGTAACTTCAGCTTAGTCATGCGCATCTTAAAAAGGATTGTCCTTGTTAGATGTCCTTATTCATCCATCATTTTGTTTCTTTTTTAATCATTTGAAAAATGGCATATGCACCAACATATCTTACAAGTTTTAATTGGGGATGGGCATTATACTATAAGATTTATGCTCAGAAATGCATGCTATCAAAAAATTAATAAAACTCAGCTATTCTTTCTATCTCTTATGCCACATTACACACACTTACCCACATCCAGTGAGCTGGTACATAATTTGGCTGACTAGGTTCGTTGGTAACTGACCTTGATGAAGAGAATTGCCATATCTCTCTTATGTTCACTGGGAAGGCAAAGCCAAACCAGGTGCCAGCAATTCTAAATTTTTGAACAAATTCTTAAGTATGGTGTTGTGGTCTGCAGTCTTTATCTAAGCTGAACCAGAGGCCCAGAGAGGTCTGCTAGGCCAAGCCTGGAGCTTAAATTTTTTTAGTGACCTTTATAACTGCTGTATCAGGCAAATATTACAATGGCACCAGCTGCGTACAGCACTGAAAACTGATGTGAATGGATGAAGACAAGAAGCTATGTTGACTGTTTCATCCCTTCAACACACCTCCCATCTTTGCCCTGCTATTCGTACTGCTGTATTATTGCCACCAGCACCCAATGTTTCGTTTTGCAGAATCTTTGCACTTAGCATGGTGGTGGTCTTTTAGAAAGCGGATGAGAAATTTCAAAAGTAAAAAGTGATTGTGGGTTATGATTCACAGGGCAAGGAAATTTCAAGTTTAATTCATTTTCGTTGGGCATTCATTCACGTGAACATCTTCAGGTAATCAACAATGTGGTAAAGTGACCCAAATGAACTGAAAAAAAAAAAAAAAAAGATCGTACAAAGAATTTAATACCAACAGCAATTAACAAGATTATCTATTCTATTGCTCTGTAAGAATAAGATGCAAAAAAATTTTAGCCGTAAAAATTTTTTTAATATAAAAAAAAAGAATTCTAGTGACATTACAATTCAGCTCATTCTAGCTTAAGACTCCTAAATTTTTAGGGAAGTTGTGCGTAATCGCTGCATTCGTTTAGTAATCTAATGTGTTCATTATTTGCTGTAGACTGGTGCGTATATTCTAACTTTTTTTTAATGCAGTTTACAATCTATTCATGGATCCATTGCTATTGCCACTCGTCAGCTAAATGGAGTAGGTAAGTACTCTTTCAGCATGGCAAGTTGTTTTACCAATCGAGGCATATTTTGCCAAGAATGCAAAGGGGACAAATCCAGCATGCACTTAAATAGAAAAAAAAGCAAAAAAATTTCTTCCTCCCCTTTTTTCTCCTCTCCATCCAGAAAACTGACTTTAGTCTTGATTTGATGAATAATTGATATGTGGGGCTTAACGTCCCAAAACTGACTGTAGTCTATCAGGCATAACTATGTAGGTCATGCCACTTTATGTTGGAAAGATCGCTCTTCGGATGTACTTGTTTGAAGGTGGTTAGAGAATTTATTTTCTTCCTTTGATGAACACTTGCTTATTGTATTTGTGTCAGAAGTCTCGCTGAAAAATATACAGCAAAAGCTTGGCACAGATGTATTCCAGGTGTATACAATTCATATGGTAGGTCATAACCTTTTGTTAGTGGTACACGTCATGGTTTGGTTTAATGGCTATGGCATTACATCGTAAAGGGCAGTGTAAGGGTAGCACAGTTTGTTGCAACATGAAAAGATTCACATGTTTTGAGATTGAAGTTTCTTAGTACATATTCTATGTATAACTTAAACAAGTATGGTGAAAGAATACAACGCTGTTCCACTTTTTTTTTAATTTTAAAACAATCTGTGTTACCAGCATTTGTCTTAACAAGTGCCTCTTTTATGATGTGTAGGTGCTTTAGTAGAGTTTGGAAATATGCTTGCAAATACCCATTTACCTGAGACACTCTGAGGGCTTCGTGTGGTCAACAGTTTTCAAACTTTGCTGTAATTGATGAAGCAAAAAAAAAAGGTTTTTAGTGTCCTTTACAAGTTTCCTTCAACCTTCTATATTAATGTGATTACATTAAAGGAGCATTGACATCAAATTTCTAATTTGAGATGTGCCCTTCATTCGATTGCTCAGTGTGCATAGGTCCTCTTGGCCAAAATTGAATCATGTTTGTCTGGTGGAAGTCCTTTTATTTCGACCGCAAACAGCGTGTGAGAGCTCATTGGAAAATGGAATGCCCCTGCGACATTGACACTAGTGCTACGTGTTCGATGTCATACATTCCACGCATACCATCCCGAGTGATGATGCACTAGTAGGAATGACGTCTACGATCAGTGTGTTCTTATCCTGGTGCCGTAGCCTGGAAACGCACTCACTCGTCATGTCTGATCTTCGTCGCACCGCTTTGAATGATTTCATGAACTTACTAAAATGCAAACCGCCCATAAAAGGTCGGCGAAAGAAAAGAGCATGATTCAACGTGTACTTGTCAGTTAGGGCGTCGAGGAACCATTGTGAGTTGCAGTTGTCTTGTTCAAAGCGTGGAAAAAGCGCAGTGAAGTTGTATTTTCGTTACACATATTTTACAAGCCAACATGACCACAAGCTATCGAAGTGGAGTAGCGTATAGACAAATAACATCGCTATCAAGTAACACACAGACATCATTAATAGTGAATTTCAGTTCATTCATTGACTTCTTTGCGTCCACATAATACCAGGTTACTGCTGCCACCAACCTAATAGGCCAGATAGGTGGGGCCATCTGGAGGTGCAAACAAGAATCGGACAGCAAGCAACGTGTTCTCTTTCTTCGCTGGTGCACTTCCCCTACGCCGTTGACCCCTTTGTGTATACCTGAATGCTGTGCGTGCCAAAACACACCAATATAGCTAATTGAGACACACGAGTGAGTGTGGCCGAAGCATGCATCCTCGGGCACCTCCTCATTGCTGCTTTAAATGGCATCCATTTTGGAATCGCTGTTCTGCAAAGGGTCCATCGAAGCAAAAATTATTTGCAAAGTTGCGAATCGCGACAATGCCAACCTCCCGATTTTCGTATTCAACTCTAGCCAACATTTTGTATGGCAATGATGGCAATGCAGGTGACAAGGCATGACTGATTGTGTGCGCCTTGCAGACGAAATGTTTGCAGAGCAGCATGGCACGACATCACTTTTTTCTCTGGATAAGTGGTCAGCTGTGGGGCGGTCTGGAGGTGACCGCTATGTAGCACCTTTGGTAGCGCTCAAAGTACTAAAATTGGTGGGATTGCTGGTCTTTTGAATCATGCTAGATACCAGTGATATAAATCGATAAAACTGATAGTTATTCGTCCCTCAGTTGCGTTATAGGTCACGAATCGCTACTGGGGGTCTATAGGTACTTGTTGACGGAAAAAAACTACTTGTTGATGAAAAAATTAACTGTTGACAGTTAATAAAACTAGTATCCATTTATGCACATGGAATTTTATGAACATAGCAACAACAAAGTGTTCAGTATGGACAGGAATGAAAAATTAGGTGGGTGGGGTGGACAAGTGCACATTTTGAACAAATTAACGGCATAATGATACATAACACAAAGAATAAATCGACATTACAAGTGCTTGTTGTGTGCTCTTGCAAAGGAAAAAAAACCTTGTAGACCTTTTCATTCATTTGTGTGAAGAGCTGTCTTCATGGTGTCTGATTGTCCACAATTTCTCTTGTATTTGCTGAAAATATGCTGTAAAAGTGGCCCGAGTAAGCTTTGGCTGTGGTAATGCATTTGCAGGTCGAGGAGGCAATGCCTGGCTTGGCCCTGCTGGGTGTGCCATGTTCACTGTGTGCCTGCAATTACCACTTCATTCACCACTGGGACAGAGAAGCCCTTTTGTCCAACACCTTGCTGCCCTGGCTATGGCCAAAGCAGTCCGTACCACACCGGGCTATGAGGTGCTGTGGCTGTGGGAAATTTTGTCCTGCTGACTGATTAGACTTGTTATGTGTTTGATTTGCAAGTTCTTCTGTGTGCAACAAATTGTTCTGCCTAAATTAGTGGCGTACAGGGTTGTCAACTATTATTAAAAAGTCACATCACATGGATGAATGAGAAGGACAGGTACCGAGCAGCTGAGTCTAATCTCAAGCATGCAGCAGCCAAAGAGTGTAAAAGCTGGCACTAAATCAGGGCCACTGCGATGCTAAGCGGTAGTTAGATTATATTTCTGGTGTCTATTGACATCCACATTGTAAAACATGCACTTCCTTATTGTTGTTTCTTGAAGAAACTGTGTGTTATTCATTTTTTTTTTTCCATGTTTCACAAAATGTAAATTTATGACTGCTCAGTCTTGAGGCTTCAATATCTCGGTAGCTAGGGCAGATACAGCAATGATTTTCCTTGCAATGGAAACCTGTATGTGTATATAATTTAAGTAATGCAGCCGAATTTAGAGCACAAACCTTTTTAATTAACTCGTCAAAATTGTAAGCCAATTCCAATTGCTTTGCAGGATCAAAAGCTCATTTTGCTGTAACGTGACTAAGAAAGTCGAAAAATAGAAACCTTTGCATACTTTCAATCTCTATTCATTAATCTATGTTGCCACATCTTAAATAACACATTTCTTTGAGCACTTCTTTTTCTATCAAGGCCTTAAACAATAGGGGTGGTGAACTTAGGTTATCTCAAGAACAATAGTATATTTTACGGGAAAAGTAATTTCATATTTGAAATCGGCAGGAAAAATTGCATAAGCCTCTGTAGTTTTATCAAGGTCAAAATGAAAAAAAAAGTCTAGATGACCTCCTTTTTACTTCCTCTCTCTCTTTAAACATTATCATTCCGTATATCTCCTGTTTTCCTCTTGTTGATCAGCTTTGCATTTATAGATGCTGTAATATAAATGCTTGCATGCTTTCTTTTCAGATGGTAAATATCAGAGTGAAGTGGCCCAACGACATTTATTATGGATCCCATGTGAAAGTAGGAGGTGTCTTGGTCTCATCAACTGTTAGCAGGGATGCCATTACTTGCTTTATAGGTAACTTCAGTTCACTTCACAAGTCAAGCGTTGGCTATGAAGAGTTTTTGCTTGCACTACCTACTCTGACTGTGTGCTAGAGTCTTACATATTTTATAGTCTATATTACATGGCCATAATCCAGAACGAGAGATGAATACACATAGGGCAGAGTAGTTTACAGTCGATCCCGGATATATCAAACTTAGATTTGTCGAATTATTTGCTATATCGAACAGTTGAGAAATCCCCTTGAATTTTACAAGCAAAAGTATGGGACCGGTGCACCTGTATATCGAACTCCCGCACAGCAGGACATTTGCTATATCGAAGGCTGCACCGCGCCGAAGCTCAGAAAGTGCATTTTTTCTAGCAAATATTGATCAATTTTTAGCCGCGTTCTAACAAGTTCCGATCCCTTTTCGCGCGCAGGTGACAAAAAAGCAGTATTATTCTATCACGCTGATTTGATTCGTTGCGTGGTGCTTGTGAATGCACTGGTATGTTTGATGCGCGATCTGCAGGTCTTTATGCGTGGGCGTAGTGTTTTTCAAAGAGACCGATTGTCAAGGACACCAAAATAATAATGTGGAGTGACTAGGCGATCTCGTCGCATTGTTCGCATTTCCTTGTTTGTTAGCACACAATGGCATGCGAGCCTGAAAAGCATGGCCTTCGAGACGTGCAACCTCGCGACATATTGTTAGTGTTTTCGCTTTTAAAACGCATTGCTTGGACGCTACGCTTTTTACAGCTTTTCGCATCAAAGCAGCGGCTGCCAACTACAAAGCCACAAGTGACATCGGTTCACCAAATGCCGACGGTGGAAACTTCAGCGTTCTAGATAGAGTAAACTCCCCTTAGGACGAATTCTGTTAATATGAATTCCCGCTTAAGACGAACAACACGGGAGTGTTTGTTTGGTTTCTCATAGACTCAATGTAAAAAAAAATCTGCTTAAGACGAACCGCGTAACAGGCCTCTTCTGTTAAAAACTCTCGCAGTGACCGACGACGAGGATTCTGCGCATTGAATTTTATAGTCTTGATGAGGGCATTCAGGTTGAACAAGACAAAACAAAATGTGGAGGGGAAAGAAAAACATTCTTGCGCAAATACTGAAAGCAAGTCGAATGCAAATTGCAACGTGGAAGGAAAAAGCGAGATGAGAGAAAAAGAAAGGTCAGCGCATAAAGCTGGTATCTCCCTCACACCTAGCCTGTAAGTGGAGAAAGGGGGCTGGCATATTAGGTGTTCCTTTTGTGTTCTCCTCGTGTTCTTCAGTTCCCACATGCTGTGGTCAGTTTGCATTGTTTTGCGTAGGGCCTGTGCACGTCCTATCTGTTCCCAGTCAAATGCAGCAAATTGTAAAGTGACATTTTAATTATGAAAGTGCACAGCAGAGGAAGGTCATTTTGCACACTAAATACAGCTGCATCGGGTCTTTTTTGTGTGCCCAAGGTTTGTGATCGTGAGTGGCGTAAGCAGATATCTTCAGCTGCATGTCATTCAGAAAAGTTACTGTGGACGGAAAATAAGAAAATATTCGAACCTCAAAAAAAAGCTTGCAGACTTTCATAAGCAACTTGGCGTATATTGGCTTGGTCAAAGTAGCGGTATGCAATGAAGGCATATTCAAAAGTGATAGCAAAGCCTTATTAAAACAGTGTCTCAGAAGGTGACGAGCCAGAAGGAAAAATTGTCTATTTTTTGAAGGACTCCCTTTTTATCTTTTTTTAATCATCAAAATAGGGTTGTGCTATAGTTTTATCGTTAAAATGTGGTAGCAATTTATTCATGAGCATATTTATTATGAACTCGCAAAATCGAGTACTCGTTAGATTAGTCTACATACTCTACTTGAAAGCATAGTTTTTATCAAGCTGAGCCAAATAAATGCTTTTTCTTGTTTCTTTCCTCCCCATTATTCATTTATTTATTTATTTTACCCCTAAAGGCCAAAGGCATTACAGAGGGGACTGGGAAAAAATTACATACATATATACGCCAGTAAAACAAATACAGTGAGTAATAATAACAGGAAAGTAAAACTGGCTTATATATTTAAATAACAATTGTTAGTGCTTCTCAAAAGCATTTATTGTTTGTGATTGATGTAATTTCAGATGGAAGATGGTTCCACTAGATCGCGGTATGCTTCATTTAGTGTTTTTAAGCAACATATTTAAGCATACGTGGCACGTTGGAATTTGGTTTTGGGGGCACTTCTGATAAAACAAACTTCTGATAAGGCAAACAAATGATCATGGTTCCTTCGAATTTGTCTTGAAGGAAGTCTACTGTACTTCTAGAACACTGTAGTGGGAACTCTGCATTGTCTTTCGCACTTTTAAATATCTGGACTTGAGTACTTCTCGCCTCGTTACAAATAAATTCTCATTCGGGAGTTGAGCAGAATGTTGACCCGCACGTAGCAATAAAAATCATAACTGGCACTTGGAGCAATGTCAAGTAAAGTACCGTCGTAAACTTTCCTTGCGGGCCAGGTGACGACTTTGGGTGCGTCATGACGGCTGACAACGGCGTGCAGTGCCTCAGTGAATTCTGCAACTTATCAGCGTTTTCGGGCACCATCTCTCACAGTGAGCGACTTCATCAGTGCAGATGATGACGGAGCTGTTTCTGACTGAATCAATGCCGAGATCATGGCTACTGTTACCGTTACCGAGAAAGTGTACCCTTGCGGTTATGAATATGCTACGGCCTTCACTGCCGCCGCGAATCAACCTTTTTGCCACGCTACAAAGCTTGCATCGCCATTCTTCGTCAATCAACGCTGTTGTGGCCGGAGGGGCTGAATTCACTCATTTGAAAAGCTTCAATGATATTGTCACGGGGTCGTGACATAGACGAAAATAGAATGCTGGATGTTCAGATGAAAACTGTTTATTGGGCCGAACTTGTGGCCGGTAAACGAAAAGTCAGATTGCAGTAACACTGTGGCACTAATAGCGGCGAACAGAGTGTTGGTCATCGATCAACTGAAAAGCGTTGAAGCGCATTGGCATTTATACATGTGCCATTGAATATTCTAGCCTTATCACTGGTCGTCGCGCAAGCTCTGGAATAATCTCGAGTGTTCGTGTCTTGCATGCAATCTTAACAGAACGATCTACAATAATTGCAAACCTTCTTGAACAATGAGGCGCCGTTTGCACTGAGCGTTCCTGACAGGCCTTGTGGGCGAAAACCAAATTTAACGAAAGTGCGTGGCATTGCCCCCCTCTGAAAAAGCATCATCCTGATGCTTGAAACAGAACACAGGAAAAAAATGCATGCAACATAGGGAGAAAGTACAGTAATAATAAAGCACAATAATAGAGAAACAACTGCAAATAATACAGTTCTTAGTTTTCTTCACGTGCATGAAACGGCTTGAGGTGCACGACATGAATGATTTCAGGTCGCGCACGTCGCCATTGAGAGTTCGTGATGCCGTCGAGGACAACCTTGTAGTCGAGTGTACCGAGATGCCGAACTACCCTGTACGGTCTGAAATACCGTCGCAGAAGTTTTTTACTCAGTCCATGTAGGTAAATCGGCATCCGAACGTGGTCACCACGGTTAGTATTCCATGAAACTTTGTCGAAATTGTAGCGGCGGTTGTCGGTCGCCTGTTGGTTTTTGATGCGGACGCGGGCTGTTTGTTAAGTTTATTCGGCGCGCTGGAGGTAGACAGTCACATCTGTTTAAACATCGTTCGTATGGGGGAACAAACAGGAGATGAGGCACGAAACACATTGCTAAAACGCCATATTTATTGACTGCCTACAGACGGCGGGTGATGATAGCTGCCTAGTGATGTCATTGCGTTGTGGTTGTTGAGGATGATCTCATTCTTCTAACATCCTCCCTTTTGGCCGCTGAGTTTAATGCAGAATACAGTCTTTGAAGCGGCTAGGCATGTGTCTGTTTCAGCTCAGCCTTCCGCTTGTGGTGACTGGCTCTTTGTTCATTTGCTGAGAGAGAGTCTTGCTTTCATCATGCTGTATGGTTGTGTCCTTTTCCGAAGGATTGGGAGCTCCCATATTGCATTCGGATCTACAGTGTGTTTGCTGCGATGTTTCGCCATCGCTGGAGTTGAGGACATGTCTAAGGTGCAGTCTGTTCCGCCTTAGCTGATTTCTCTCGACTTCCACTTCATATGATCTCACATCCAGCTGTTTTGTGTCTGTACCTTTGCACCACTTGCATTTTTTTTTTAAAGGTTGTACAGACACTGCCTCCTCTCTGTAGGGGCATAGGTCCTTAGTGTGTTTGTTGTAGTACCGCTCGGTGCTTGTGATCTTTGCTGCTATCTGTTGTTTAGTCGGCAGACTTCAGCTTGAGTAAAGCTTTTGTTGTTGGGAGAGTGGTTTTACTTCTTCTAGCCATGAGTAGCTGAGCTTGGCTGGCTCCCATCGGTTGCCGAGGTGTGTTGCGGTGGTCAAGCATGGCTAAATAAGGATCACCATTGCTCTCTAGTGCTTTCTTCAAGAGTGACTTGGCAGTCTTATTGCCAACTTGGCAGTCTTTACTACCACACCGCGGCATGGGAGGTAGCGCAGCAATGCAGTCTTGCGCCACGCACTGCAGATCCTGCAAACTTTTGTGGCTGACAGCACATTTGTGAGCCTGAAAGGGTTAAACATTCAAATATGACCCCAATAATCCTCTTCAGCATATATTTGATGATGCATTAATTCAGTTTTTTTTTCATGGTCAGCTATACCAGGCATGCCTTGAAAGTGCCACAACACATTTCTGACACCCTTATACAATTCCCACAAAGCTGTTCCCAGTGTTACCTGTCCCCATGTCATTATGCATTATCATCTTTTGATCGATACACTACACTTGAATATGCAGTTAAACCTTATTATGATGAACTTCAATATAACGAAGTGTTTCAGTTTTTATAATTTTATGTACTTTCTTCTCAATTTTACGAAGCATATTTATCTGTAATATCAGTCACTGGCCTAGACGGTGGTAGGGAAATTTTCAATTATGTAAATTTTAATGAAAATTTCAATTATGCTTGTGTGTGGACCTGTGTATACACATGTGCATGCATGTGTGTGGGTTGGGGGTGTACATGCACACCACACATACGAATGTGTGCATGAACTTACATAAAGTATGGTTTAACCCCTGAAAAAATTTCTGGTGATGCTCCTAATTTCCTCATAACAAAGTTTCCCTACTACAGTAGAGGAAAGCCAATGCAGTGAATTGAAACATCTGCTGGTGCCAGTGATCCTATGGTTGACTTGCACATAGTTCTTTTGAACAACTGCACACTGCATGACAGAGCGGGCACTCGAGCAGGGCAGTTCATTTTCTGTCACCGGCTGCAGGGGAAGAGCGCACCTCAATGCTCTCCTTGTCTTCCGAGCTGTCAAGAGGGGGAGCATGCAGCTTACATGTTGCATGCTCCCCTTGTGTACCTTTGTGTATTGTATCACGTGTGCCTTTCTTTACTGTGCTGTTGTTCCTTTGTATTTTCATATTTTGCATTTTGTGTGCTCTGTCAATGTCCGATTCGGTGTTTTTGTTATCGCCCAGTGTCAAGTGATGGACATAACTAGCCTTAAAAGGTAGTAGCAGAAAACACAACAAGGGGGCTGTGGGGGCTAGTTGATAACTCATACCACTACGATTCAACCCCTTTATAAGAGGCATGCTCCAGGCAGTAGTTCTTGTCTTTTATAAGAGATGTCTCTCATTAGCAGGGTACCACGTACGTATTTGCTTGGCAATCCATGTTTTACTGTAGGCACACTGGTGTCTCTTATACCTATTTTTCTCTTATATCAGTGTCTGTTGTTAAAGGGTTTAACTGTATACAATGGACACTTACAACATAGTGTGCACTCTGTACCATTTTTTCCTCATTTTTCATCAAGCATTGATTTTTGATGTTGTGAGAATAGAGCATGCGGTTCAGTTCAATGAACATCATAGTGTCAGCATAGCACCATTGGGGCAACCACTGAAGTTTTGATAACCAGCCACAGCAGCAGAACAGGTGCAATAGCTTCGCCTCGTATTGTTGCTACAGTGTGCTGAACTCTCATTTCTTTCGGTTTTACATGCAGCGGACAGGCACTTTAAGGAGGATCTCAGTGGCACGGTATCAGATTGTGGCCCTTGGAACTCATGCTCAACAAAACCTATTTCTAATATTGTTGAAATTACTTATTTATACTTTCATATTATTTGAACATTCTTGCTGCACCACATAAAAAAAATGTTTTGGAGACTATACAATGCATAAAAAGTTGAATTTTCATTTAATGAAGTTTCACTATAATGTAGAAAGTTGGCAATCTAACTAAATTTGTTATATCAAGGTTTAACTAATATAATTCAAAAAGCAATACCTTGATCGATTTAAAATGGAGGCGGAAATGTTGTAGGCCCATGTGCTCAGATTTGGGTGCACGTTAAAGAACCCCAGGTGGTCAAAATTTCCGGAGCCCTCCACTACGGTGTCTCTCATAATCATATGGTGGTTTTGAGACGTTAAACCTCACAAATCAATCAATTAATTGATCGATTTAAAATCCACTGAAAAGCTTTACTTCCATTTGAATGAAGTTTTAATGTAACAAAAAGTTTTGATTTTACAAACTTGTATCGAGGTTTAAATGTATTATAATAGGAAAAACAATGTTCTTATGTATTGAAATTTTTGGGGACCAAAAAAAAAATAGAAAAGACATTCAACTATTTTCTTGCATTGCTTCTGACTTGCTTTGCCTTTATCACTCAAAGCCACTCTACACTTTTCAGGTGACTTGCACTGTCTTTCAATTTTCAAGTCATAGTTTTTAAGCTAGGGCTTTGTAGCCAGTAATTTGATTTCAAAGAAAAGCTAGTTCAGGGCAAGCGTCAACTATTGACTGTTTTTTGTCAACTTTCGGAAAGCTAACATGATTTTTTATATATCGTCCCACTAACATCAGTGGTGTGATGGCAGTACTTGCAAGTAATCGGACTAGCTCTTTCAGTGCTTTGTGGTGTTGTGCTGGTCATCTGTGGACTGTAGTGTTGGGCACTAGTAACAAAATTTCAATGTGTATTAAACCTGCAAACCACTCGACAGTTTAGGGACTGACAAAGCTTCTCGAAAAGCCATGTTTGGCATTTTATAACTTTTTGCTGTGGCAGGTTTCTTGAACTTGAAACTGTACTTAAGGCATGTGCATTATTCCAAAAATTTCACTTAGCCAATAAAGGCGCTTCTCACTTAAAGGACCTAGGGATACCATCATACAGAGTTGCCATGGGATGCTGATAGTGCATGAACAAAGGCCTGAGAAACATGTATGAAAACTTCTTGTTTAAACATCATTTTTTAATGTGTAATGTTTTTAGAAAGTAATGCAGTAGTATCTGAAATTGTAAGTGCCATAGGGATTACATATATCAGAACTGATTTGAAATAAAGGTTTATCAGACCATGTGTCAGTTCATGCTGATGTTCAATATGATGAGTGATAATTCATCCAGTGATTAGAATTTTTTATCTTTATGTCTGCTTTCAGTGCACTTTCTTAACTCTGCTTCTCCTCTTTTTTTCTCTCAACTTCTCAGGTTGTGGCATGAATGTTTCAAACAGCCAACCAACTTTATGCATCAATGACATTGCAAAAGTAGTGTCTTGTAAATTTAATGTGCAGCAGAATGTTTGTCCTCTGACACCTGAAGAAGTCATTGCTAAGGTATTAAATGAAATTGAGTTTTTGGTGGCTACATTCCAAAGTGGTGGGAGCAAGATGGTATTACAAGAGTACTACAAGTACTGGCTGCATGGGTAAGTGTCATGTTTAAAAAATACTTTCAGGGATGCCAGTTCACATAAAAAAATGTTTATCAGTCATATTAAGTTGTGTTTTAAAACATACCTTTGATTGATATGAAAAAGTCATGCCTATGGTGGCACTGTGTTGAGTTGGTATGTACATAAGACTCAGAAAATTTATGTATTTGTTCAAGTCTTGTGTAAACTATCATTCTCGGTATGCCACGTCATCTGCAACAGCAGCACTGCTGAAGCGTAGCCTCCTCTATTAGTTCCAGCAATGGCACGTCATGGGTTAGTGACGGAGGCAATGGTTGAAGATAATAAATAACGCTTGCTCATGTAGGGCTCGGAACACGGAACACATTTCTTGCTCTGCTTACGAAGTCAATTGAGCGGAGGGTGGAGGTGCGTCTACTTGGTTTCGCCATCATTTTGCAGCCAAGCTGATCACGTCTTGCCTGAACGCGATCATTAAGAACACAAAATCTATGCATTCCCATGCACTACTATTCCTAAACTGTCTCAAGATGCTACATCTGCACCTGGCTGAGTGTAGGCGACACTCAGCTAAACCAAAGCAAAGACTAAACACGCCTAGTGAGCAGCCGAACCTTGCGTGAGAGTGAAGAATAGCTCCGGGCCAGGGGAAACGAAGGTGATGTATGTTCTTGTGCCCAGACTTTTAGCGCGCTCGCGGGGTAGGAGCTAGGCAAGTTTTTTTTCATTTATGTGCTCTAAAGCCCCTGATGCTACAACCGCGAAAAAAATTATGACATCGTCAACAGTAATGTCAGTCCTTCCTAAACACGAAGTTTGATTGAATTCTAAAACCCCTTCTGTTTCCCTTTAAGTAAGCATATCTCAATATACCAGATTACTGTCTGTCCCTGGCTGTCTAGTGTCTACTTACAACTGTAAGTTGGTTTTATACATAGCAAAATGGACAAGTGCATTGTGCATCTCGGAGCCATGCTGGAATTACTGGAGTAACTCTCGTACAGTGTCAAGTGTTATTGGCTAGCTGTACTAAGTTGCTACTTTTGCACCTGTTGTGTGATGTAGGTAAAATCAAGCTTCATTAATTGATCAGTTGCTCACACACTTCTACTTTATTAGCAGAACTGGCTTACGATTGGCTAGTGACATCTTGACTAGGTCTTCTATAATGGCACCATCATATAGAGTTGTGAAACTATGCTGTTGAAATTCTTTTGTAATCGTTGACAACTTGAGAGAGTGCTTGCTCATGTGAAAGTTAGCACCCACCACAACATTCTAATGGTTATGGCACTCAACTGCTGACATGAAAGTTGCGCGAATGAATCCCAGCTGCTGTGGCTACATTTTCAATGGAGGCAGAAATGCTTGAGGCCCATGTACTTAGATTTAGGTGCACATTAATGAACACCAGGTAGTAGAAATTTGCAGAGCCCTCCACTATGCAGCCTTTCATAATCATATCATGGTTGTGGCCCTAGAAATCATTATATTAAAATTGGCAGTTTTTCACCATGATTAGTAGAGCTTGAATCCTGTTATCAGCAGGATATTCCAGTTCAAAATTATTCAATCTGGCAACATTTCAGCTGCATAACGATATGCTTCCTTTTTTGCTTTTCTTTGTGAGCCAGCTTTTCAAACTCTAGAATTAATTTAAATTCACAGAAGCCATGTAATTCATTATTTGTTCTTGGTATTTGTATATTTATTTTAGTATGTACAATGACTATTTGCTGTCCTGAAAAGAAGCTAAAAAGACTTATGGCACTGAAAGAAGTTTATTTTAACAGCTCTTAGCAATGCTACACTTGACACAGTGTTCTTGCATTAGTTATTTAATCAAGGCTGTTTATGTAAATGCAACTATGAATCCAGTTAAACTATATAATATATGCATGTATACATATAAAGAAAAACATTCTTGTGGTACTAGTATCTGTAAATTTACTTGTGGATGAATTATTTTATGCATTTCATTGGTAGCATTGTTTTATCTTTGCATTCCAGTGGCCAGGAAGTCACTCTGCAAGATTTCGGATGCAAAGCGCTGATCAAAGGATTGGATGAATACGGCTACTTGTTGGCGGAGTGCTCAGGCAAGCTGTACAAATTGCAACCGGATGGAAACAGCTTTGACCTTATGAACAACCTTATTGTTACAAAAGCATAGCTTTTATCTGGGTTCTAAAATTTCTAACATATGAACCTTAATGTAACGAAGTACCACCTGCAGTTCAGAATCTTGCAAATTGTGAACTGATGCTTTTTAATGCAATAATGTTTGCACAACTGTACTATGTACTGGTGACTAATTATGTGGTGAATGAATACTGCACATAAGAGAAATATAAGCAATAATGACGGAACCTAAGGGCTCGAATGATTAGGTTGTATATAAATGCAGGAGCTATAGCTGCTGAAGCTTGGTTTGGAGGAGTGAAACACAGTGTCACTACAGTGTAAGCCTGTGGCTGCCAAAATTTTTAGTATAGCACAGCGTAAAGATTCAGCTGAATATTTACAATCGGAACCATTTGTACACAACCACTCAGTGAGAACGCTAAGGTACACCATGTTTATGTGAGCAGTCAAGGCATTGAGCATGATCCCAAAAGCAGCATGTCATCAAGTGAACTCAGCAGATTGCATGACCTCTGTTCTGATAAAATGAACTTCATTGCTAAAAATTTTCTCTCGGAACTGACTTGTGTGGTCTGTACAACAAGGGCTATTTGTGCAAAAGTGTAAAGTTCTAGTTGCCAATCCTTATGTCCATGATCTTTCACTCTGGATTTGATACGCTGCCTAGGAAAATTTCTGCTAGTGCTCTGAATGGCACACTTGAAATAGCTATGGTAGTGGCATCGACCAACCGGCTGTCACTTGCACTATGCCTGCACTGTATATGAGCATGCACTAGCATTGCCTAAAATTCGAATTGTTTTGGGGGGGGAAAAATTAACAAAATTGGGGATAAGTGACATTATATTGTCATAAAAAGCAGAATCATTGCTAGAAAAACACCGTGTCAGTGATAGCAGATATTCGGCAAGAACTGGCAGTGCTGGTCAGATAGCTTGTGAAGCCAGAGTACACATATTAATCATGGCTAAAACTATTTTGAAAATCCAGCATGGCTTGTTGCTATGATGTGCACTTATAATCACCTATAAATGCTTGGGACTTTCCGAGGAGGAAACACATGCAAATGTGCCAATAATCCTCTCTGAAAAAATGCAGTACAGAATTTCATAATTTTGCAGTGAACAGTGGTATGAAGGTAACAACCACAATAAAAAGGGTTTTTATTTTCATTTATTTATTGCATACAACACCTGTATAAATCATCGGGTGACTCCTGCATTTTAGAAGTTTTTTCATCCCTGTATACCTTCTTGTAGTGCAGGGTAACAACATGTACATGAATCCAATTTACCTTTCATTTACCCTTTCTTCTGCTCACCTCTCTAACTGTTGAATTCTTGGTAATTTCATGGTCTGGCATGCTCTTTGTGTAGCTGCAGTTCTAAAGAACTACAGCCGTTCTGCTGCTGGTTGCTGCAGGGCTGGCCATACTACAGCACGTACAAAGACCATAATACTCGGCCGCACTTGTGTTCTCATGCTTCACATATATTAAATCATCATTTATCTTTACATGCTTTTTCAGTAGAGCTTATTCTTCTGTACAATGAAGTAAGCGAGCGGCAGCAAATGATTGAATATTCCTTTGAGATACGAAAAGGGCAGTCAAAAATGCTTCCAGGGGTGTTCCATACTTCTTCAAGGTTGTGCCAGGGTTCCCTCCAATAATATTTGCAGGAAACTGATTCTAACCACTCAGTCTTCACAACTCTATTTGTATGATGTTCCTTCAGTGGATAATTAATTTAGAGGAGTTCACCCACGGGAATACAGTAAAAACATGAAAATAAGGCCCCTGTGGCTGAAGCACAATGTGGTTTCCAATCATTGTAATTCTGATGTTTACAGAGAGAGAGCATTCGACAGCATCTTCTTTCCATCCAGTTGTTACAGGAGACATTGAATACAATGAGAGGTTATATGCCGGCTTGATTGTGGCTGTGAAGTTGCTCTTCAACAGGAGGAGCACCATCACAAATGCAAGATCTTGTATGTGTGATCGTGGGTCTTCGAACAATTATGAAACTTGACTTCACACCCATTGCACACATAACGTACTTTCGCATTCCGATTTGCACAAAAATACCTTGTCCTAGTTTTGCAACCACTGAATATCCTTAGGGTGTGTTCATAAATTTTGTTTTGTTTTTCTGCTAACAATGCCTGGTGCATTTTTGATGACTACTTTTGTTCACCTACAAGTGTACTTGTCTCTGTATGAGTGGGAATGCAACCTTATTTTAGTGGCCTCCTGTGCTTTAACCTGTGCTTTCAGTAGTGCACAGACACTTGTCACAATGTTTTTTCTGATAACAATACTTTAGCAACTATGCAGGTTCCATTCAGCTCATGCATACAAAAGAGAAAGCCCAATCTTAATAGAAACAGAGCAGCCTATTACAGGCCCAGTTTTGTTTTTGTATAGCTAATATACCAAGCATCAAGCATTGCCTGCTAAGACCATGTTGGCTTAGGCAGGCATGTTTCATTGATGCATTTGACTCCTAATTTATGAGTGAATAACCAAGAAAACCACCTGTTTCCTCTGATTTCTTGTGGAAACTGCCAGTATGAACGCAAGATGTGCAGTCCATGTTCAATCAAAAGGCTAATGCAGATTTACTCTGCTGAATTCAGAAATAGAATGTGCGATTGTTAGGGTTTGATGTACTACAATTTCGTTGCATTGAGGTTCATTATGCTGATGTTTGAGTCGGGTCTTTATTTTCTTGTCACCAAAGATGCATTATGTACAGATTTATGCACTTTTTAAAATTTTTTGTGAGATACGGCAGAGATAACGATTGAAGAGATTGCATTCCGTAATTTGTACGCACAAAGAACTTGTTCTAGAAGCCATGTTCAATATTTATAGTCATGACGCCTTTCACAGATAGTTGTTAGCATGAGTTGACATACGTAGTGGTCTGTAGTGCATTTATTTGTTCATCAGAAGTATGCCATTGTTGACCTCCTTTTCTTTTTGTGTGTGGTAGTTTTATTTCACGGCTGCTTTCTGGACCAAATGTCTGAATTTTTTTTTCATGTCTTCACTTGTTTGATCTTTGTGGCCTCTGACAGAGGTGTTAATGTGTTGTGGAACTTTGTTATTAGTTGTACTGTTCCTGGGATATTTTTATTTTTTGAAGAGCTTCCTGCAGCATTTTTCTTCTATATTCAGGCAAACGTTTTATTTCAAAGCACATATTGAATACTCTACATTGTGGCTCAGCCTATGTTAGTCAATCCTGATTTCTGGGCTGCAGTTTTAAAAGTGGTTTTAACCTTTTGGGGCCTGCCTTGTGGCATTTTCGTGGTTTTTACCTTGTGAATATTTGTTAGCCATTGTGATATTTGTTTTAAATAAACAGTATTTTTAAACAATGTGTGATTTCAATGTGTGATGCTATACCCATAAACTGATGAAGTCTAAAAAATAAAACTAAGAAAAATAAAATTTTGCCTTCTATTACATTGAATACTGTGCATGTAATAAATCATGTATGTAACACTTAAAGATTCCAGCTTAGAGCTGTTAGTGTTAGCTGTTCATCAAAGTTGCGTCTCTGATGCGTATGGATCACAAAAATGAATGGTGGCGTGTCATAAATACATTCAACTTTACGCTTGTTGCTGTTGTTGCTTGATGCTGAAATATTAAATGTTTTTCACTACATTTTAGTTATTTTTAATAGCATTGCTAAGTAAAAGCATGGCCTTTGATATTAGGAGGACAGCTGTTACGGTAAGACTACAGAGCGGGCAAAAAGACGCAGCAGAGCGGTGTGATGCAAAAGCACATGTAAAAGCAGGAGTGCTAGTGGTGGTTCTGTGCCTGAGTGAAGTGCATACTGGATTGTTGTGATCAGCACCACACTTGTCTCTGATAACTGTAGCTTTGTGCACACAGCTAATCAAGTATTTCTGCCAAATGATGTGCAAGCTGTGTAAATGCAGCTAACTGTATTAGAGTTAAACTTAGACATAATGAAATTCACGAAATTGGCAATGTCATTGTTTTATTGAAACTTCATTAAAGGGATACTCTAATGCCACATGTTTAACTATCATAAGTTCATTATTAAAGAAGAAAATCAAAGTTGAAGTTTGATTTCTAAATTTCACACTTAAATCTCCATGCGTGACGTCAAAAGTTTCAAAATGCATTTTTCATATTTTCACAACATTAGCTTCATGACATTTTCTTAAAACATTGTATGCCAAGTCTGTAGCACCTATAGATGACAATGTACTTCATTTTTGTTGGTTAGAAGCTATGTAGGACTCAGTAGACGCCTTAAAATCTATGGCGTCTCAATATTTGGTGTGGGAATTTCAAGGTGGCTTCTCCACCCGTATTTTCGCACATTTTCTCGCTTACCAAGCATTATGTAGCGGTTATAGTGGTGTGCTCGGTGATTGGAAATTGAACTTTTCTAATATATTTATTTATTTATTATTTATACATACTGCAGCCCTATTCAGGGCTATCGCAGGAATGGGATGTTATATAGTACTAGGCAACAGAGAAAAAATACAAACAAATAATACAAATTGTGAAGCAAGTACACTCGTAACAAAGCAAAAGTAAAAATGAAGTTAATTACGCATCAGTAAGATATTCATCGACAGCAACTATGAAGTCAGTTAGTGGTAAGGAGCGAATGCTACCAGGCAGGGAATTCCACAGTTCTATTGCACGCGGAAAAAACTGTACTTAAAGGTATTAGTACGAGCAAAGAAAGGTGTTACATTCAAAGCGTGGGAACTGCGGGTACAACTATCATCCGTAAATGTGATGAGGTTACCATGACCAAGGCCGGAGGAGGAGTTAATAATTCCGTATAAAAATTTTAAAGCTTCGTTTTGGTATCGCGAGAGTTGTGATGGGATGTTTAATGATTGAAGGGCTGTGGTCGGCGAGAAGTTGCGGCTATAGTTATGAAAAATGAAACGGATAGATTTTCGCTGAATGTTATCTAGCAAGCTTACTTCACAGTGTTTGTAAGGGAACCAAACTACGGATGCATATTCGAGAACAGGGTGAATGAGTGATTTATATAAAAGCAGTTTAGTATCTCGAGGGGTGTTAGGTAAAGTGCGGCGCAAATAACCTAATTTTTTTAGAGCTTTACGACATACATGATCAATGTGGCTAGTCCATGAAAGGTGTTCGGTTAGAATTACTCCTAAATATTTGTACTGTGAGACTCTATTGAGCTGGGTGCCACCTAGAAAATAGTCAAAAGAGAAGGGGTTGCGCCTATTGGTAAAAGACATTACGACTGTTTTAGTGCAGTTAACGTTCATTTGCCATGTGTCACACCAGTTGCCAAAAGACGTGAGTGATTGCGCGAGATGGTAATGATCGTCAATGGAGTTGATAGTTCCATAGAGGATGCAATCATCTGCATAGAGTTTATTTTAGATGAGATGCTATGAGGTAAATCATTAATGAAAAGTAAAAATAATATAGGGCCTAGAACGGATCCCTGAGGAACACTGGATGTGACGTCAATGGGAGATGAATCTGTCGAGCTGAAAGAAACGAATTGTGAGCGCGAATGAAGAAAACTAGCAATCGAAGAAACAATGCGAGGGTTATCGAGAATGAGGTTTAGTTTTAAAAATAGCTTAGAATGAATGACGGAATCAAAAGCTTTGAAGAAATCAATATACAGTCGCCGACCGATTTTCCGGACTCCAAAAATTCGGACTTGTTGGATATTCCGGACTTCATAAATGCACCGTCAGGGATCCCATAGAGCTAATGCATTGTTTCGACCGATTTTTCGGGCGAATTTGCCCCTGAAAGTTCGATTTTTCGGACTAAATCGCTTGTTTTTTGCCACGCTCCAAGCCATTGTGAACGCCGCCATGTTGGATTTTTCGTCGGCTTGACTAAGCTTGGTCTTCAGATGCCTTTCCTGCCTCCGAGATTGGAATGCGCACGCCATATTTTAAGTTTCGGAGGCCGTGTTTGCTTTTTAAAAGACGCAGTGATGGATGCCGTTTTTTCGTCTTCGGTCAGCACTATCGTCATCACATCGCACGGGGAGGAGGCGAAAGAAGGATTCTTTTATTGTCGTTGCAGCTTTTTTCAGTCGCCATTCTGCACGTGTTGTGTCGCGTAGCGTCGAGACGTTGTGTGCTTCGCAGCGGCTATCTGCGGCATCGAATTTTGTGTTCTCGGTGCCATGGCTCCGCCATCTGTGCCATCGCGGGAGCCAGGTGGTGTGAAGAAGCGTGGGAAGTATACGACCCTGACGATGGAGAAGAAAGCTGCCATAATAAAGCTAATAGAGAGTGGACGTTCGCAGCTAGATGTCTCCGGATGACGGTCGACGCCGGATGGCGGTTGTCGACGACAACGACGACCGCCCGCAGCCGGCGGCGGCGGAGATCGCCAACGCGGTGACAATTTTGTCGAGCGTTTATGGCGACGATGTCACCTTGGCGCAAATACGGGCAAACCAAATTGCCTCCAAGCGTAGTTTGAGGCAAGGCAGCATCAAGGACTTTTTTAAACCTGCCTGATGCAATAAACTTCAGATTTTTGGCGAAAACAAATTTTTCGGACTGTTCGATTTTTCGTACTTTTTTTCGGTCCCCGCCAGGTCCGAAAAATCGGTCGGCGACTGTATATATATGTAAATAACCATATCTCTCTTAAGTGTTCCCTCAAGCTGAAGTTCATCCTATTCTTTTTATGCAAAGTACAGTTGCTGACGGATTCATTTTTGTACTGAAAGTGCTGCAAAAATGTTGAAATCATATGACAGTACAAAAATAAGTTTTTTAAACTTGAAAAAATACAGCACCTCCGATTTGGTGCCATGTCGTGAAGTACTCTTCATAGCACCCGCGCGTCATACATGAAGCCGAAGGAAATGCAGGTTGAACACCGTTTGGTAACGAGTTTATTGATACTACATCATAACCATTATGCCACCACGGCTTGTCACCAAAACCTCGAGTGTTGCCCAGAGCTTCGTTATGCTGATGCTATCATGTTCGGTCAAATGAACCACTTGCTATACGCTCAGTACGTGCGAAATCTGCACACCACAAAAATAAAAGCTGAGGTCAAAAATTGCATGACATCAAAGCGACAATAATTATGGCAACTTTGGTGATGGCGGTCACGTTTTCAGTTGTGTGACATTGCACTGTGCATTCATTTTATCGCAGAAAAAATAAGTGTAAAGAAACATCCACATAATTTTTTATAGAGCTGATTGCGGTGTGGCTGATATAAATGCTGGCAGTTTAATAAAATATTGTTCGACTGCCTAAAACATCTCCATACCAGAAGGAGTTTTTATAAATGCTGCTGTTCCGATGTTTTCCACTGGGATTTATTCTATTCTTTACAGAGTCCAGAATAGCTTTTTTGCGTTAGTGATCAAGGAAAGTGCGCTCTGCAGGGTGCTCTGTGCGACTTCATTGACCCAAAGGTCAATGAAGTTGAAAAAAAGGAACGAAAAAAGGAAAAAAAAAGTTAAAAAAGGAACGACTTCATTGACCCAAAGGTCAATGAAGTCGTTCCTTTTTTTCTCATCGATGGGCATTGCTTGCAAGTTACTTGCCTTGTTAGTGGCATCTGTTTCCTGAAAAATCGCGATCACTTGTAAGAAAATTCAGAGGTCATTGAATTTGTTGTTACAGCTATTCATGATTATCAATTGGCATGTGACAGTAATGATAATGCCAAATTGAACACTGACAAATGACACATGCAGTGTAGAATGGGGATGGGTAGCATACTGTGCAAGCAGGAAACTGGAAAAGACGAAAGAGCGCAGGTTCTTTTCTGCATCTGTCCTTTGTGCTTACACAGTATGCCACCTGTTCAATGATATGAACAAACTAGACCGCATAAATGTCTTAGTAGAATATAAAATTACACAGCTCGTGGAGAGATAATTCATGCTCTCTTCCTTTCTGATGTGAGGAGTGCGTTGAGGTGCACCCTTTTCCTGCAGCCACCATCACAATGGATGCAAAAATTAAAATTAAGCGATGTCGTGCTCATAACGGCCTGCCTTTCGTCCCCAGCTTTCCAAGGTTGAAGGTAGCAAGGAAACAGTTCTTGTAATGCTACATATCGGGAACCCTCGACCGCCATATTGTCAAAAACCTGTAAGGCCATAACCTTGCTCTTTAAAGGCCAACTCCGGCGGTTTTTTGACCATGTCAAGGTTATGGTGTTTCTATGTTCCTGAGACACTCTTGTCACGAGCCCAATAGCTAAAACGCTCAGGAAATTTGAAAATAATTTTTAATAAGCAATAATGTGCAACATCGAAACCCAACCGAGCGCCTGTTTGTGTATGATGTACTATTTGGTAGAGCCAGAGACCGTATACTGGTTCCGCCGGCGTGG